GCTTGGAGCGGCCCGCAGGCCCACATACCCACCACAGCCCAGTTGGTCCGGCACTCCTTGGAGGAGGCCATCAACGACCACGGTGCCCCTCATGTTCTCATGGAAAGATCTGATGATGCTGAGGAGCCTGGGTGGGCATCCGATTTTGGGGAGGATCTTGAACAGGCCATCCTTGCTGACGAGGTCGAAGGCCTTCATCAGATCTATGAAGGCTACGAAGAGTGGCTGCTTCTGTTCCCTGCATTTCTCCTGCAGTTGTCTGAGGGAAAAGACCATGTCGATGGTGGACCTGTCAGCTCTGAATCCGCATTGTGATTCTGGATAGACTCTCTCTGCAAGTACTTGGAGCCTCTTCACCGCGACTCGAGCAAACAGCTTTCCGACAATACTGAGGAGAGAGATTCCACGGTAGTTGTTGCAGTCGCCCCTGTCACCTGATATATCATATATATATCACATTACTGTAATTTGCTTGTGTATATTGAAGGGACCAATTGGACAAGAACCCCATCATCTACACCAGAGTGCATGCAGGTCGTATGTACTACGTATTTGGGTTGGTTACCAACTCGGTTCCTCCCGACTCTTCATGGATTTGGGCAAATTCCAGGTTATATAATCTCTTGCATATCGTGGTCAATGGGTTAAGGCAAACATCTAGAGTTACTCGGGTAGCTAAAAAACCAGCGTTGAATGTAATGAAACGCCATTTTCTGGGTGAGCCCCGGAGGCTCCCTGGAGCTTATCGGGCTAATGTGTGTTATGTTAGACCGGGACATTAGCTAAGGAGTTCAGACCTACCAGGGACCAGCGCCAGAACCTGGCCCCTTCAGAGAGGTTTCAGGGAGCAATGGCCCTGGAAAACCCCATATGGTTGGGGGTTTTCCTTATCTGCCATCGACCGGGGTTAGGCACCCAGAAAGGTAGGCGTAACAAAACAAACCCCACATGGTAAGAAACTACAACAAAAACCGAACAGAGAGGTAGAAAACTCCCTACAATCCCAAGGAAACAAGCAAACAAGCAAACATCACACTTTACTGCCGCGCCGATCGTCCGCGCAGCCCTCCCCACCCCGGGAGGGGGAGGGGGGAGCCCCGGACCTACCGCGCCGGCTGCCAAGCTCCAGTTCGGTAGCTAAGCTTCAACCAACGCGAAAAAACCGCCGACCGGTGGGAGGGAGGGTTTCCAGGGAGCCTCCGGGGCTCACCCAGAAAATGGCGTTTCATTACATTCAACGCTGGTTTTCTGTGGGGAGCCCCTACGGCTCCCTGGAGCTTCATACCCAAAGAGAAGGAAAAGAAAGGGCTAACCCGGGAGGCGGCCGCCACAAACTCTGCAACGCAAAGCCAAGACAACCGGTTGCAAACCTGCGACCCAAGGCAACAAGAACGCCCAAGAACAGACGCACACATGGATGGGCGGCCAAAAACCTGTGCGACCCACAATTCCCTGCGCCCGAAATGAGCCCGAGACGTCACCAACACAGCAGCAATTGCTGTAAACGTCTGAACAGCACGGGCGCAAAGACAGACCGCAGTAAGAAGGAAAACACTGCGGACGACCCGGGAGACCCGAGCCCTGAAAACAGGGAACGAAAGAACCGGATCAACCACAGCGCATCCCCAGGCACGGTACGCCGGCAACAGCAAAAAGCACAACTGGACAACACAGGACGCACCCCCCGGCCAAACCAAACAAGTACCAATACCCCAAGAACCCCTCCGGAAAGCAGCCGTCTCGACCGTCGCCAGGACAGAGAAAGGCTGCACACCAATAAAGCTACCACCAGTACCAAAAAGGAGGAAACTGAAACCGAAGGGGCTACCACAAACTGAGGGGAAGAGAAGAAGGCACCCTGAACAAGGACCAGGATGGCTCAGGCGACTCATGAGCAGGCCGGAGGGGAAACAAAACGCGAGAAGACGTAATAAACGTCATACAGTCTCCAAGACGAAGCTCGCAGGTGGGACACCGTCAACAAAACCACCTGAACACCATAGAGATGGCGATACCTGCGTCAAAATACCAGACGCGAAGAGCCAAAGAGAAGGCCGAACCAGTCACGGACAGGACCGATTCGGCCTGCTGAAAGAGGCGAAGCCTCAGGAAAAACGCCCCGGGTACGGACACCTATCAAGCAGCGTCCGAAAAGAAGGCCGGGCCGGCCACAGTGGAACCATAAGGACTGTTCTCGTGGGAATGGGCTGCAACTGAGCCAGAACCCGAAGCAACAGCTGGACCGGGAGAAGAGGTACAGGTACCCCCCACCTCGACCAGGCCTGCCGAAAACCTCCACCGTGAAGTCCTCGCAGGTGGGAAGGGCGCCACAAAACGGGCGACGCCTAGACCACGCCGACCCGAAGACGTCCATGGCCAGGAGTCCATAAGCCCAACAGAGCCAACAAAACGAATCGGCGACGACTGGCCAACCCACGAAGAGGAATGAACCGAGACAGCTGTCCACCAGGACGCAGGACACACCCCGGACACGAACCACACGGTTAACCAAACCCCCTGTGGTTCCGGCCAGAACCACCAGAGAACAGTCCAAACAGAGCTGAACGGTAGAGTACCTAGTGACCCAAACCCTCCGAAGCGCAAACCAGACAGCCATGAACACCTGAACCGGGCTGTGAGCCCGACGGACAGACAGACTCCATCAACCTCGGCCGACCTGGTGAGCACTGGTCACAAAGCCCCAGCCGAGAGACGACCCGTCCGTGAACACATCGAGCGAAGGCTCGGGGAGCCGCCAAGGGACGGAACCCCGAAAACCCCAAAGAGGAAGCTGGTGACGCAGCACCAACACCAGATCCCCAGAGGAACCCAAGGAATGCAAGAGGCGGAAGTGGAGTCTCCGTAGGAACCAACCGACTCCGGAGCCAAACCCGACTCCGCGGGCAGACAAGCACGCCGAAGTGCAAACTCCCGCACAACCGCCCAAGCAACCGCTGAGCAACCCGGGACCCCCTCCCGAACAGCCAAAGGCGGGACCACAGCCACAGTAACACTTCTGGAGGGAAGACAATGAGGGGCCCAAGAGCCTGAAACAAGGCCCAGGTCCGAACCCGGGACGGAAACAGAAGGGAAAACCTCCAGATCACCAGGAAACCAAACCCAGCGATCTGGAAAGAACCATCCCCTGGCGAGCAGACAAGCGGACTGACTGGGAGCCCACTCCAGCCAGTCGTCGAGGTAGGCCAGACACCGAATCTCAGACGCAGACAGGGCACTAAGATCCGGTAAAGATGCAAAGAGTATACAAAGTGCCCTTCACAAAATAGGGAATGCAATAAAAACAGCAAACCTGAAGCCCCACCACCAAAGCATTGTATGACAATCATATGAAGACATATTATGACATATGACAATCATTATATGACAGTATGACAAGTATAATCAAAGCATTATATGACAAAGAGTGCTGGGAAGACGGGACACCACGAGAGTAGCTCTCATCCTGTAACTACACGTAGGTAAGTACACATAGGTAATTACCAACCGTGCTAGCCCCAGAAAAACTGGAGAGGAACGTGCCAAGAAGTGACCTGGAGGTCCAGGTCCACCATCCAAGCACCCGGCCCTAACAGAATCCGAACAGGAGACAACAGTCCTCCGAGCAGGGCAGAGGATCCAGGGCGCAGACGGAAGTAGTCCAGAAGAACTGCAGACTGGAAAAGCTCATGACTGCAAAGAGCAGACGGGAAGCCCAGAAGGATGGGGCGGAGCGACCACGCCCCACGCACCCACGAAGAGGAAATGACGAAGCGCAGGGAAGAAGCCCACCCCGCCAGCTCTGAACCCCCCCCAAGGGGGAGAAGCCGTCCTCCGACGCCAGCAGAGGCCGGAAGACAACCCAAAGCGCCCACCAACAGCGGGACCAAGCGAGAGGCAACAGAGCAAGCTGCTCCCCCAGCGCCCAGGCAACAGAGAAGGGAACAGAACCCCTTCAGAAAGAAAAAGTACACTACCGAAGTCATGAGGAGAGACTACGGGAATGACACCACACTTCGCTGGAAGAGGAAGTGAGGGGAGACCTGATCACCACATACAAGATACCCAAGGGAATCGACAGGGTTGAGAAGGACAGGATATGTAACACAAGGGGCACACGCACTAGGGGACACAGGTGGAAACCGAGTACCCAAAAGAGCCACAGATAGAATTAGTTTTTTTTTTTTTTTTTTTTTTTTTTTTTTTTTTTGAGTGTCAGAATGGGAACGGGAAAGCACTAAGAAGTAATGTGGCGACTCCTCACACAAGTAACGAGGCTGACCCCCATACAATGTCACATGTAGACATGACAGAGCCCAAGAGGCACAGGAACCGATACACCTGTTGACGGACGGTTGAGAGGCAGGGCCAAGGAGCCAGAGCTCAACCCCCACAAGCACAACTAGGTGAGGACATGTATCGTAAAAGCACAAGCCGCCGACTAGTGGCAAAGAGCACTACGCCGGCCAGGCAAAGAAGGCACAAAACTGCATCAAAAGGCCCACCTCGACAGCAAAACCACAAAGTCCCAGCACAACCACAACATGTGCCAAGACCCAAAAAGCTCAGTCTGCAAGCCAGGAAGACCCCGGAACCCCAAAAGGCAGAACCGGGTCACACGAGGAAACAAAGTCCCCTGAACCCACAAAAGGGGGCCCAAGAGGAAGAAACCTCCAGAACGAAACCAAGGAACCCAAAGGAACCCAGAATCGAACCAGGGGGAGCCCAAACCACCACATTTGCCGGCGGAGAACACCACTAAAAGGCAAAGCACAGACCCCCGCAGAACGCCCTGGGAAAACGGTCCCAACAGACCGAAAACCGAGGGGCAAGGTGTGGGAGCAAGCATACCAGCCAGGGGCACTGAGCCTAAACCCAGAGGCTCAGACCCAAAATCAACACCCAAACGTTCCCAGAGGAACAGGCAACGGCAAGAAAACACCAGAAAAACAAAGAAACGACAACAGGAGAACAAAAACCCTGCAAATTTTTTGAAAACTCACCAGAGACGCTCGCTCGCACACCCAGACGCATGTAAACAAACCGCAACGCCGCCCTGGTGGCCACGCCGGGAAACCGGCAGACGAAAATGGCCGCCAGCAGGGGCTGTGACTGACGCTAAATACACAAAAACACGCCAGCAAATGTGGGAAGCTAGCAGACTGGAAGGGCGAAAACGACGCCCAACAGCAGAAAAACCCCTGAAGGGGCAAAACCGCCCCAGAACTGCTAGTAGGCATCCCCCACAGCCCCGGGAACCAACAACAGAGGCCCCGGGGCAGAGCCGTCCTCCAAGCCCTCCGCCCTGAAAGAAAAGCAAGAGCCCATGGGAAAGGCAACAAGAAAGGGCCGCTGGTAAGACCCAGAAGCCTTGGCAGGAGGCACAGGCTCAAACCTCCGTCCCCAACCCGAACGGGGCATCCCCCGAAAACCGCCCGAGTCTCTGCCGCAACTGAACCCCGCCCCGACCCAGAAACACGCAGACGGTCCTGAGCCGGGAACATGGAGAGAAAGGGGCGAGCAGCACCTAACCAAACGGGGCGGCCACGGGGCATTCGAGTGGGAAACCAACCTAGCATGTTGCAGCAACCTAACCTAGCTTGCAACACGGATGCCGCCTGTACTCTGAACAGTAATAACAACAGGAGAGTACTGGAGAACAAGCAGAGAATCACTCGCAAGACTCCGGGTCAAGGTGTCAGTGACCCAACAGGCAGCATGACGGAGGTAAAAATGGCGACTGTCACCCGGAGACAAGGGAACAGCAACCAACGATCCCGTTCAAGACGGGTTGGAACCCGGAAGACACATTCAATGGTCCCCCGAGCCCAGACAGGGGTTTCCAGGGCCCGTAGGGTAACAACTACGGGAAGCCCGGGCAAGGTGTTGCTAACCGGTTAAGAAACCCAAACATAACAAGAGGGTAGATTAGAGCACTGAAAACCCCTGAGACGTGTACAAGCACGGGGGCCTAGCAGAGGGCCGCCAAACACTACCAGTGGAACTATAACCACCTTAGGCAGACCCCCACCAGGCAAGAAAATGAAAAACAAAAGAAAAACCCCGCAAAAGTACACCGTCTCCAGAGGCAACAGAAACCGGCCGCCGCTTAGGTGGCAGGCTGCGCAACACCTTGACGCCCTAACCAGCACAATACCAATCCCTACCCAGGGCCAAACAAGGGCCCCAAGCCCCAGCTGGCCCCAAGGGCGAGGCAAATGCCGAGCAGCAAGAACCTCTACGGGAATGGTTCCCGAACGCCCCAGGGAAGATAACCCTGTAACGCAAGGGCAGTACTCACAGGGCGCTTAGGGAAGTCAGCCACTAAGCACATGCAGCCCCGGCACTGATGAAGTACTCCTGGCCACCGCACACCACAACACACGGCAGTGAACGCCACACAAGGCAAACACCGCCTAGGAAACTGAGGCCAGAGAAGCGTCAATCCCGGTTGACATTAGCGAACGAACTGGAGCTTGGCAGCCGGCGCGGTAGGTCCGGGGCTCCCCCCTCCCCCTCCCGGGGTGGGGAGGGCTGCGCGGACGATCGGCGCGGCAGTAAAGTGTGATGTTTGCTTGTTTGCTTGTTTCCTTGGGATTGTAGGGAGTTTTCTACCTCTCTGTTCGGTTTTTGTTGTAGTTTCTTACCATGTGGGGTTTGTTTTGTTACGCCTACCTTTCTGGGTGCCTAACCCCGGTCGATGGCAGATAAGGAAAACCCCCAACCATATGGGGTTTTCCAGGGCCATTGCTCCCTGAAACCTCTCTGAAGGGGCCAGGTTCTGGCGCTGGTCCCTGGTAGGTCTGAACTCCTTAGCTAATGTCCCGGTCTAACATAACACACATTAGCCCGATAAGCTCCAGGGAGCCGTAGGGGCTCCCCACAGAAAAAAGAGGTAATGCCCTATTCAGTAAACACGAAGCATCATTAAATGAATGTGGTAAATGATTAGTTATATTGTGAGTAATTTTGGGGCACCTAAATTGTTTAAGAACACCTTATGGCATAAGTCTTCTGGCACTATATTGCCTTGCATAACTGTAAATGTTCTGTTCAAATAATACAACTCACTGTATACAGATATTTACTATGGTGTAAAATACAATAACCCTACATTTAACAAAAAAACAGCATTGAATGTAATGAAACGCTATTTTCTGGGTGAGTCCCGGAGGCTCCCAGGATATGCTGATGGCTGATATGACTAGGCTGATATGCTAATGTCAGACTTTGGTATCAGTCATGTGTATGGAGTTCTATGGGCCTACCGGGGACCATGAGCCAGAACCTGGCCCCCTCAGAGAGGCAAGGGAAGCAATGGTCTATAGAAACCCCCGTGTAATTAGAAGCATTCAATGTCTGCCATCGACCAGGTTAGGCATCCCAAAACAAACCCCTATTCTGGTGAAAATTGAAACCAAAAGCCGAACGAGTCGATAGAACTCCCCAAACAAAACGAGCAATCTAGTATGATATCACCCATCGTTGCGCTGCTGTCTGCGGAGCTCCCCCCTCCCTGGGAGTGGGAAGGGTTCACCCTCCCAGGGAGGGGAAACCCCAGACCCACCACGCCGGAGATCCACACCCCAGTTCTGAGGCTGGATGTCAAAGCACCTGAAAAACCGCCGACTGGGAGGGAGGGATGCCGGGGAGCCTCTGGGACTCGCCCAGAAAATGGCGTTTCATTACATTCAACGCTGGTTTTCTGGGGGAGGAGCCCCTACAGCTCCCTGGATATACATGGGATATACATTGGGACACAGAACTCGGAACCAAGTCTGTACAAGACATGATGGACTATGTCACCCAAAAATGTCAGGAGGCTGTAAGCAGGTTTGTCCCAGCCCAACAGGAAAAAACAGAAAAGCAAAGGAAGAATCCGTGGTTTAATAGGGAATGTATGAAAGCAAAGGAGCTGAACAAAAGGGCATGGAGGAACTTCCGTAATAACAGAACACCAGAAAGTAGAGAGAGATACCAGAGAACCAGGAACGAGTATGTTAGTGTGAGAAGAGCAGCTGAGAAAAGGTATGAAAATGATATAGCTAATAAAGCCAAGACCGAACCAAAGCTACTACACAGTCACATCAGGAGGAAGACAACAGTGAAGGAACAGGTGACGAAACTTAGGGTGGGCGAGGACAGGTACACAGAGAATGACAAAGAGGTGTGTGAAGAACTCAACAAAAGGTTCCAGGAGGTCTTTACAATAGAACAGGGAGAAGTCACGGTGCTAGGAGAGGTGGCAGCAAACCAGGTGACCTTGGAAAGGTTCGAAATTACAAGAGATGAGGTCAAGAAGCACCTATTGGAGCTGGATGTGAGAAAAGCTGTTGGGCCGGATTGAATCTCACCATGGGTATTGAAAGAGTGTGCAGGAGCACTTAGCTTGCCACTCTCCATAGTGTATAGTAGGTCACTGGAAACGGGAGACCTACCAGAAGTATGGAAGACTGCTATTGTAGTACCAATATTTAAAAAGGGTGACAGACAAGAGGCACTGAACTACAGGCACGTGTCCTTAACTTGTATACCATGCAAGGTGATGGAGAAGATTGTGAGAAAAAACCTAGTAACACATCTGGAGAGAAGAGACTTCGTGACAACCCATCAACATGGGTTCAGGGAGGGTAAATCTTGCCTTACAGGCTTGATAGAATTCTATGATCAGGTGACAAAGATTAAGCAAGAAAGAGAAGGATGGGCGGACTGCATTTTTTTGGACTGTCGGAAAGCCTTTGACACAGTACCCCATAAAAGGTTGATGCATAAGCTGGAGAAACAGGCAGGAGTAACTGGTAGGGTGCTCCAGTGGATAAGGGAGTACCTAAGCAATAGGAAGCAGAGAGTTATAGTGAGGGGTGAGACCTCAGAATGGCGGGAAGTCACCAGTGGAGTCCCACAGGGCTCTGTGCTTGGACCTATCCTGTTTCTGATATACGTAAATGATCTCCCAGAGGGTATAGACTCATTCCTCTCAATGTTTGCTGACGACGCCAAAATTATGAGAAGGATTAAGACAGAGGAGGACAGCTTGAGGCTTCAAGAAGACCTGGACAAGCTGCAGGAATGGTCGAACAAATGGATGTTAGAGTTTAACCCAAGCAAATGTAATGTAATGAAGATAGGAGTAGGAAGCAGGAGACCAGATACAAGGTATCACTTGGGAGATGAAATACTTCAAGAGTCAGAGAGAGAGAAAGACCTGGGGGTTGATATCACGCCAGTCCTGTCCCCTGAAGCTCATATCAAGAGGATAACATCAGCAGCATATGCCAGGTTGGCTAACATAAGAACGGCCTTTAGAAACTTGTGTAAGGAATCTTTCAGAACATTATATACCACATATGTCAGACCAATCCTGGAGTATGCGGCTCCAGCATGGAGTCCATATCTAGTCAAGCATAAGACTAAACTGGAAAAGGTTCAAAGGTTTGCCACCAGACTAGTACCCGAGCTGAGAGGTATGAGCTACGAGGAGAGACTACGGGAATTGAACCTCACTTCGTTGGAAGACAGAAGAGTTAGGGGGCACATGATCACCACATTCAAGATTCTCAAGGGAATCGACAGGGTTGATAAAGATAGGCTATTTAACACAAGGGGCACACGCACTAGGGGACACAGGTGGAAACTAAGTGCCCAAATGAGCCACAGAGATATTAGAAAGAACTTTTTTAGTGTCAGAGTGGTTGACAAATGGAATGCATTAGGAAGCAATGTGGTGGAGGCTGACTCCATACACAGTTTCAAGTGTAGATATGATAAGAGCCCAATAGGCTCAGGAACCTGTACACCTGTTGATTGACGGTCGAGAGGCGGGACCAAAGAGCCAGAGCTCAACCCCCGCAAGCACAACTAGGTGAGTACAACTAGGTGAGTACATATATATTATGCATACTGTATACACATACATATATACATACACACACACAAGGTGTATTACTCACACATGCGTATGCACATACATATGTGCATACACCCACGAGCGTAGCTCTCATCCTGTAACTACGCTTAGGTAATTACAGTGTGTACACATGTACATGTACATGTGCACACACACATACACGTGAAAAGAAAATTACAATCTGCCGACCAGTGGGCAGAGAGCACCACGCCGGCCAGGCGAAGAAGGCACAAAACTGCATCAAAAGGCCCACCTCGACAACAAAACCCCAAAGTCCCAGCACGACCACAACATGTGCCAAGACCCAAAAAGATCAGTCCGCAAGCCAGGAAGACCCCGGAACCCCAGAAGGCAGAACCAGGTCACACACGAGGAAACAAAGTCCCCTGAACCCACAAAGAGGGCCCAAGAGGAAGACACCTCCGGAACGAAACCAAAGAAACCAAAGGAACTCGGAATCGAACCAGGGGGAGCCCAAACCACCACATTTGTCGGCGAAGATACACCACAGAAAGGCAAAGCACAGCCCCCAGACAGAACCCCCCAGGGAAACAGTCAAAACAGACCGAAAACCGAGGGACAAGGTGTGGGAGCAAGCATAAACAGACAGGGACACTTAGCCCAAACCCTAGGGTCTAGACCCACAACAGACAAAACAGAAAACCTGGTGTAAAATCAACACTCAAACATTCCCAGAGGAACAGAAGGCGGGCAGAAAACACGAGAAAAGCGAAGAAACGACAACAGGAAAATAAAACCCCTGAAAAGGGTGAAAAAACTCACCCAAGACGCTCGCTTGCACACCCAGGCGCATGTAAACAAACCACAACGCCGCCCTGGTAGCCACGCCGGGAAATCGGCAGAAGAAAATGGCCACCAGAACAGGGGGGTCTGTGACTGATGCAAAAGATACAAAAACACGCCAGCAAAAGTGGGAAGCAAGCAGATTGGATGGGCGAAAAACTCCGCCCAGAAGCAGAAAACCCAGGCAGGGGCAAACAGCCCCAGAACTGCTAGCAGGCATCCCCCACAGCCGCTGGAACCCGCAACAGAGGGCCCCGGGGCAGAGCCATCCTTGAAGCCCTCCGCCCTTAACCACTGTGCTGCACCGAGTTCATTGTGAAATTCCCCGTGCGCATGAAATAAAGTGTTTCCCAAAAATTCTTTTTTCTTCGTAAAATGATAAATTTCCTTCCCTGAACATGTCAATGTAAAAATAAATACAAAATTCCACTTACTTTGGCTGTGGGGACGTGGACAAGGTGCGCTGTGACTTCATCAGGGGCCGGTCGCTCGTGCGTGACACGCCCAGACACGGTCGCACAGGCCATTCAAGCACCGGGTGTGGCCACAAATATATCTTCAATTATTTGTTCTATGTATTACTAATGTGGTTTTATTTGTTTTTTTATCGTATATGATGCATATTTATGTCCTTTACAATATGTATACAGTAGAACGTTCATAATGTTCCTTGGAACTGTGATACATGTGTCAATAATGTGTCCACAATAAATGTTTATTGTCGCAATATTACTTGTTAAAAATTCACTAAAATTACAATATGTAGAGTTTCACACACTACTTACACAGTAACACACTGTATTACACATATATGACAAAGAGTGCTGGGAAGATGGGACACCACAAGCGTAGCTCTCATCCTGTAACTACACTTAGGTAATTACTCAGTACTTCCGAAGTGAGTAATAATCAATGAAGTAGTCCGTGATGCACAGCGCTACTTCACTCTCGTTGCACCAAGTACAGATCGATTTTCACTTCCTGTTTTTTCATTCTGTGTGCTTGCAAATAACACACTCACGTACACCCTTGGCTTTAGTACTTGTAGGTTGTATGTAGCCAAGCTTGTAAAGCATAAGGTAGTATTGAAAAGATTATAGGAAAAGATCAATTTGTAAGGGAGTCTTGAAAAGATCGCTTTGTAAGGTCCCACACAGGAAGAAATTCAGCTAGCCTCAAAGAGTGTCCATTAGTCAGGAAGAGATTCAGCTAGCCACAAAGAGTGTTCGTCAGTCTGGAAGAGATTCAGCTATTCTTGAAAATATCTATGGAAAACAACACCATGGAAGCCACTAACACTCTTCATCTATGCTATTTGTATCAGATGCATCATCACTGAACGCAGAAAACGATTCATCTAAGTATCATCGATATAAATTGGAGATAGCATAGTGGGCAAGGATGATGCTCAGAGCTACAACTGGATACGCTCGCTGTATCGTCCTCACAGGTGCTGTATCACGTGCTCCCAACTTTTGTGTTAGGTCCTTATTGCGCCTAGCTTTACAAATATTATGACCCTTATGTTCTTCAAACAATAAGGTTTGAATTTCACAGACGGAGCGCGATCTTTCAACACTGCGTCAGACAGGTGTTTGGGACCAAGAGGCGCGTGCGTCACCCATTGTTGCTCACTCTGTACTAACCCAGCCAGCAGCCCTAGGTCATTCTGGGATTTTTTTCCAAGATGGCTCCCTCTCACTGGAGGTCCTAAGAGTCCATTTCGTACACAACCGACCTCGTACATATTTAGAATTGGTACCAAAAAATTAAAAAGTTTTCTCGGTTGGCGCAGTTTCCCACCGACCGAAAATACTCAGATGGCGCAGATAAGTGGTTAAAAAAAGGAAGAGTCCATGGGAAAGGCAGCAATAAAGGGCCGCTGGTAAGACCCAGAAGCCTTGGCAGGAGGAACAGGCTGGAAAACCTCCGTCCCCAACCCGAACGGGGCAGCCCCCGAAACTGCCCGAGTCTCGGCACCAACTAAACCCCACCCTGACCCCGAAAGCCGCAGACGGTCCAGAGCCAGGAACAGGGAGGGAAAGGGGCGAACAGCACCTAACCAAAACAGGGTGGCCCCGGGGCCTCTGAGTGGGAAACCAACCTAGCATGTTGCAGCAACCTAACCTAACTTGCAACACGGATGCCGCCTGTACTCTGAACAGTAATAGCATCAGGAGAGTACTGGAGAGCACGCAGATAATATCTCTCGCAAATCTCCGGGTCAAGGTGTCAGTGACCCAACAGTCAGCATGCCAGAGGTAAGAGTGGCGACTGTCACCCGGAGACAAGGGCACAGCAACCAACGATCCTGTACAAGACGGGTTGGAACCCGGAAGACACATTCAATGGTCCACCGAGCCCCGACGGGTTTCCAGGGCCCGTAGGGGTAACAACTACGGGAAGCCCGGGCAAGGTGTTGCTAACCGGTTAAAACCCAAAAATAACAATGGGGTAGAGGACAACACTGAAAACCCCTGTGACGTGTACAATCACGGGGGCCTAGCAGAGGACCACCAAACAATACCAGTGGAACTATAGCCACACTAGGCAGACCCCCACCAGGCAAATGAAAAAAAAACAAAAGAAAAACCTCGTAAAAGTACACCGTCTCCAGAGGCAACAGGAACCGGCCACTGCTTAGGTGGCAGGTCGTGCAGCACCTTGACGCCCTAACCAGCACAATACCAGTCCCTACCCAGGGCCAAAAAAGGGCCCCAAGCCCCAGCTGGCCCCAAGGGCGAGGCAAATGCTGAGCAGCAAGAACCTCTATGGGAATGGTTCCCGAACGCCCCAGGGAAGATAATCCTGTCACGCAGGGGCAGTACTCGGCAGTACTCACAGAGCGCTTAGGGAAGGAAGCCCCTAAGCGCATGCAGCCCCGGCACTGATGAGGAACACCTGGCCACCGCACAACACAATACACGGCAGTGAACGCCACACAAGGCAAACACCGCCTAGGAAACTGAGGCCAGAGAAGCGTCTATCCCGGTTGACATTAGCTTACGAACTTATGCTAGGCAGCCGGAGCGGTAGGTCCGGGGCGGGAGGGCTGCGCGGACGATCGGCGCGGCAGTAAAGTGTGATGTTTGCTTGTTTCCTTGGGATTGTAGAGAGTTTCTACCTCTCTGTTCGGTTTTTTGTTTTAGTTTTTTACCATGTGGGGTTTGTTTTGTTATGTCTACCTTTCTGGGTGCTTAACCCCGGTCGATGGCAGATAAGGAAAACCCCAACCACAAGGGGATTTACCAGGGCCATTGCTCCCTGAAACCTCTCTGAAGGAGCCAGGTTCTGGTGCTGGTCCCTGGTAGGTCTGAACTCCTTAGCTAATGTTCCGGTCTAATATAACATACATTAGCCCGATAAGCTCCAGGGAGCTGTAGGGCCTCCCCACAGAAAACTTGTCAAAAACCTTGCTTATTGAGAATCTCATAGCCTAGCTTAGTGATCAGTGGACTCAAGACACAACTTGAGGGTTGCTGACCTTGCTGTTGTAGAAATGAGTGTTGCCATCTAGTGGTTGATGTAAGGGGTACCTTGATTCTAAGCAAGTAATTAGTTGAGCAATAAGTGTTATTTCTTGCATTTCTGAGTATCACTTTAAATTAAGAGCACTGCTTATTCTTTTTCTGAACCAAGCTGATCCCACAGTGCTGGCTCAAGTTAGACTTAACTGCTTCTCTTTGTTCTCTAACTTTCTTGAACAGGTCATTTGCAAAGATACTTCTCCCAGTTGGGGACAAGACTGATGAGAGTATGGTGCGAGATAAAGAGTCCAGGATGGACAACCCATATTAGGCTTAGGGGGTCTTTGCTATGAAGAGCTCAACATTATTATTCCAAATTTAAACACAATGCAACAATTCTGAAGAGCTAACATTTTGTGGACTTAATTTAACACAAAAACTCCACACAGGTCTAAGAACCATATTACTCAATAACAAGAAAACTTGTGTCATACTAACCTCTAGAATCGATAGCAAAAGCATATGATCTAGCTGGAGAATTGAAGTGTGTGATATCTTCAAGAAGATTCGCAAGGGGAACGTCAATGCCAATCACTCCAAAAATGTTCCCATCACTGGTTTGAACACTTCTTGTAAGGGAAACTACAGTTTCTGAGGACATATGAAGGCTTATGTTGGAGTTATTCACACTCACATAAAAAACCAGCGTTGAATATAATGAAACGCCATTTTCTGGATGAGACCCGGAGGCTCCCCGGAGTTTACTTGGATGATATGCTAATGTCAGACTTTGGCATCAGTCATGTGTATGAAGTTTTATGGGATTACCGGGGATCACGAGCCAGAACCTGGCCCCTTCAGAAGAGGCAAGGGAAGCAATGGCCTATAGAAACTCCCATGTGGTTAGAAGCATTCTGTGTCTGCCATTGACCGGGGCAGGTACCCAGAAAGGTAAGCATCCCAAAACAAACCCCTATTCTGGTGAAAATATTGCTACCAAAAGCCGAACAAGTGGATAGAACTCCCCTAAACGAAACGAGCAAATGATTGTGACGTCACATGTCACTGCGCCGCTGTCTGCGCAGCTCTCCCCTCCCTGGGAGGGGAAAGGGGAAACCCCAGACCCCACACGCCAGCTATCCACCCTTTAGTTCTTAGGCTAGATGTCAAAACACGCAAAAAACCGTCAACTGGAGGGAGTGAGGGATGCCAGGGAGGCTCTGAGTCTCACTCAGAAAATGACGTTTCATTACATTCAACACTGGTTTTCTGGGGGGGAGCCCCTTCCGCTCCCCGGAGCTAACTACCCACAGAGGAAAACTTAGGGACTTACCCGGGAGGCAGTCGCTGCTAACTCCTCAACTCGAAGTCGAGATAACTGGCTGCAGCCAGTGACCCAAAGACCCAGGGACGTTCACAAGGTAACGAGCAGCCCAGCCCTTTTCGACCTCCAAAAGCCTCGTGCCCAAATGTCAGTCCACGACATGTTGCCAAAGATGGCAGCAAGAGCAGCGAACTTACGAATGTCATGGGTATGGGGAAAGCCCGCAGGCTGGCAAGCCTTAATAACTCTGTGGACGACCTGGGAGACCCGCACCTGCAAACAGGGAAGAAGGGAAACCGGATCAACCCAAAGTGCATCCCCGGACACAGAAGCCATGGCATGTAAATAACGGCGAAGAGCCGCAACTGGACACAAAACATGATGCACCCCTGGCCTAACGAACCAAGCATCCACAACCCAGGGACCCCTCTGGAAAGCTGCAGTCTCATTCTTTGCCAGAAAAAAAGGAGACGGCTGCAGACGGACAAAACCATCACGAAGACTGAAAGAGTAGAAACCCCTGCACCGGAGGAGAGCAAGAAGCTCCCCAACCCGACCCCCAGAGGCCAGGGTCAATAGAAAAGGAGCCCTGGAGAACAATCCTGAACTGAAGGGGCCACAACAAACCGAGGCGAAGAAAGAAAAGAGAGCACTCTGTCCAATGACCAGGACGGCTCAGGCAGTGCAAGAGCATGCCGGAGGTGAAACAATGCACTAGACAGCTTGAGAAACAGGACAGAAATAACATCAAAACTGAAAGCAAGCTGAAGCAGCTCTGCCAGCGCCGCACGATACAAGGCGACAGTATGGGGCATGATGACATCCCTAAACTTTCACAAGAGAAGGACAGGACCACGCCAACAAACGCAGCTACCAAAGAAGGGACAGAAGAAAAGGAAGGATCGGCCAAAACCCCACACTGCTGCCAACAAGAAGCACACAGGTGGGACACCATCAACTAAGCCACCCGACCACCAACAAAAGGGAAGAGACTCGAGGCAGAACCAAACCGGCCCCACCATGGGCCAATTGAGCCTAATAAGAGGCGGAGCCGCGAGAAGATTTTGGGTGCAACCACAGAGCCAGCAGAGGCTGGCTCAGCCTCAAACCCAAGCTGGCAAAGGAGGAGATTGAACGTCCGCCATACAGAAAAACATCCCAACGCCGGCGAGCCCACCAGGAGATCGGAGATGACAGTCCCAACGTGCGATTCTAGAGAAAAGAAATCGAGAGACCGCAAAAATGCCACCAGCCGGGTAAGCTAGGAAACCAGGAACCCAAACCCGGCAATAGGAGAGCCAAGAGGTACAAACAAAATGCACAACCATGTTTAGGATAAAATGAGAAAAACACAAGAAAAGCCAGAAGAAAAAGCCCCAGCACCAACGGCCAGGGACAAGGCCAAAGGAAAAGCCAGAATGCATAAACTTACCTGCAGAACGAAGGCACGAACGTGTCACGACACAATGTAGCCCAGAAGATTCCGGAAGCACCGCCAGTGGAAGAAGGCAGAGCCGCACTTGCAGGAGAAGAGTGGGGGAGAGGCGAAGGAGGAGCCCCACACCCATACGCAGGAAAAACCCAGCGACCTCCCCATAGCGGCAATCCAGAATACCCTCAGGAGCTACGGGATACGGATTGGAGAATTAAGAAGAGCGAGAAGTGAAGTACCCGAGAGAAAAATGGATGCAAAACCCCAGCTCACGTGCACACCGCCCATATCAAAACAAACAACCACGGCGCATGCGTAGCAGGGATACTAGACCTGGGTCGCCAGAAGTCGCGAGCTGAAGAAAGAAACTACAAATTTGACTTGAAAAAAAAAAAAGAGACAAAATAGTGTTGTTATGACCGAATCCCATAGGAGAGTACACAGGGCAGCCGCCTACTGAAGTCGAAAAGAGCAGGAAGGAGTGAAAAGAAACTTAGCACAGCTTCCCATTTGGGCTACAAAGAGCCCAACCAGGCTACAAGGAGCCCAATCTGGCAACCCTGCAAAGCACAGGACAGTGCATAGAGAAAGACACACGAAAGAACGAAACAGGACTGAAAACTGAGAATTATGGAGAAGGACCAACAAGCCCAGAAAGGACCGGAAGACGACAGACGTTCCAAGAATACGGGAAGAATTAAAACCTTCCCAATCCTTCTAGAACAAAGAAGCAAGCATAAAGCACGAAGGCACAGAAAACAAAGTTGCATCCGCGATTAAAAGTCACGCAGATTCCCGAGAAGAGGGGAACACGACTGTGAAGGCTCATCCTAAGAAGAAGGGTGGAGAAACGGACCCACCGACAGGACGGACCCGACAAATCCACGGGACAAGGAACCGATCCCGGGGAGGGGCCAACTCCCAAAATCATGTACGAAGAATTAACCCCACTCCTCGTAACCACAAGCCCCACCCAGAGGGTAGAAAAACCCAGGTGGAGACCAAATGTCAGTCCTTCACAGCCCCAGGAACCCACAAGGCAGGTCACTGGGCCGAGCCGTTCCCACAAAGCCCCAGTCTCACAAGAAAAGCCCAGGAAACCGGACAAGTACTAAGGAATGGAGCCCACTGGCAGACTCATACAACACGGCTGGAGGAACAGGCTCGAATGCTTCCCTTGCTACTCCGGAAGGGGGGAAATCCCCGAGACCGCCAGAGTCTCAAGACCATAATGGGAAAGACAAGGGGGGTGCAAAAGGAACAAGACCAAAGCGTCCAACACCCCCCCGAGCCCTGACACACCAAATAAAATGACCGAGCGACCGAGCGCGTTGAACCACCGAAACTCAACTTGCAACGCCTGCGCTGCCTGCACCTGCATAGTCAGCATAAGACTGGATAATCAAGCCACAAACAAGCAACAAAACTCGCAGGGCTCTGGGCCGAAGGTGCCACTGACCCCACAGGCAGCAAACGGAGGCAAAACAGTGAGAGTCACCCTGAGACAAGGGGACAGAGCAACCCTCAAACTCGCACAAAACGAGGGGGGAACTCCAGAGCCACATCCATCGGACCCCCGCGCCCACTCGTGGTTTCCCAGGGTCCTCAGTGTTTACTATAATAGGACTCATGCCCAGGTAATCCCAGGCAGGGTACTGCTAACCGGCACCCAAGTCTACTGAACAACCTTCTAAGAACTGAACCCCCGGGACGTGTACACTCACGGGAACCTAGCAGGGGGAACCACCGGAAGAAGGTAGAGCACTCAGTACACAGGGGGCAAGAAACAAGGCAGACCCCCCTACCAGGGAGACAAACAAAAAGAAAAAGGAAAAAGAAAACCCCACAGGAGGACAAAGTACCCAGATGGAACAGACTCGGCTGCTAATAATCGGTGAAAACAAGTTGCGCAGTACCCTGCGCCCCTACCAGTGCAAACTACCCCCCTACCCCAGGGCGAACATGAGAGACAGAACACCCTAGCACACAAAGGGCGGCCGAAACCCAAGCAGTAAACAGCCTAGCAGGAGCAGAACCCAAGGAACAAGGAACTTATGGAAGGTGGCCCCAAGCTCCAAGGGCAGTACTTACAGGGCACCTAGGGAAGGAAACCCTAGGTGCATGCAGCCCGAGTACAGGAGAATCACTCCCGGCTCACACACCACCTAGAAGACAGTCACCACACTTTAGGTACAGTGCTGAAACAACCACTTGAACCAGAGCACATGACCTCAGTCTCAAGCCTCAGCCTAAGAACTAAAGGGTGGATAGCCGGCGTGTGGGGTCTTGGGCTCCCCCTTCCCCCCTTCCAGGGAGGGGAAGCTGCGCAGACAGCAGCGCGATGACGTGTGATGTCATGATCGTTTGCTCATTTCGTTTAGGGGAGTTCTATCCACTTGTTTGGCTTTTGGTAGCAATATTTTCACCAGAATAGGTGTTTGTTTTGGGATGCTTACCTTTCTGGGTACCTGACCCGGTCGATGGCAGACATAGAATGCTCCCAACCACACGGGGGTTTCTATAGGCCATTGCTCCCCTTGCCTCTTCTGAGGGGGCCAGGTTCTGGCTCGTGGTCCCCTGTAAGCCCATAGAACTCCATACACATGACTGATGCCAAAGTCTGACATTAGCATATCAGCCTAGTAAGCTCCAGGGGGCCGAAAGGGCTCCCCCCAGAAAATACATTATTAATCAGTATAAACTCTATCAAAAATATTACTTTCTTTTATATTTAACCAATAAACACCAGCTAAATAAATATTGCAAGTTAAATCTAACTAAAAACTAATGATAATATTGCACAAAGAAATCCCATTAATGTGATGTATCACTGAGAAAATCAGTTGGAGCCATGAGAAGGACTGGAACCTGCACCCTGGGTATGAGTAACAAGAATAGTAACAGTAGTAATAATAATAATAATAATAATAATAATAATAATAATAATAATAATAATAATAAATAATAAAAATGATAAGAAAATCCACAGGTGCTGTGATGAGGGTTTAAACCTATGCGGTGGGTGTTCCCATGCACACACACACTCTCTCTAGTGACTAGATCACAACATGGTGCGTGGGAACACCCACTGCATAAGTTCGAACCCTCATTATGGCTCCTATGGATTTTCTTATTGAAACAGTCACGTTAGTGTGATTACTCTCTCTAATAATAATAATAATAATAATAATAATAATAATAATAATAATAATAATAATAATAATAATAACACATTACCTTTGCCATCATCATCCCAGTAAGGCTCAGAGATGACAAGATGCAGAGGGCCGTGATCATAGGCTCTCGGCTCTTGCACTACATTGTAGAAGTTGTTGATGAGAGGAGCCACACTCAGTGTGGAATCCAGCAACACTATTGTTCCTTGATTTGGTGCTTTTGAGAATGGAATATTGTACTTGTCAAAGTCTTGGTAAGCCAATGCTTCTAAAAACTGCTTGGCCAAAGAAGGCTCACCTAATAAAAATGGAATAAGGTTATTCTCCATTCTTATCTTTTGCATACATCTTTTATCAATAGCTTGCACCAAAAATACTTGTTCATTATTTTTCTAAGAACAGCCCAAAATTTGACTTCACTGTAAAATTATTTTAGTTTTTTATAATAATTTGCTATTCAGAAATATAAGCAACTCATGCTTTAGAAGCATTCACCTGAAGGTTTAATAAACCACCTTTATCATAATGACTTAATTGGAATAGAGTTTCAAGACAGCCTAAAATAAGTACCTGAAACAGTTCATCCAATGGACTAAAACTTATCTTGCATATACAGCATATGAAAACATGGGGCACACTAGTTGTGAAACAGATAAAAGACAAAATGAATGAAGAAACAGGGGTAGAGAGAGAGAGAGTGGCTGACTGGTAGAGAGGTATTGGTTAACATAAGAGAAACAGAAGATTGGCAAGTACCCTTAAACTAAGGAATTACATTAAACACTCACCACTGACAAGGCCAAGTCCAAAGGTGCTGATGACAACTCTAGTATTAACTGACTCTATTCTCTCAGCAACTTTCTTCATAACTGTGCGTGCTTGCCGTACTGTTTCCAGTACCCCGCGACTCATGTACACGAGTAGAACTGATGCATTTTGTGAAGTCAAGCTAAGCGGTGAGCTTGCAATGGCATCAAGAGCCGTTATCAGACCAAGACTATGATTAGTTTGTTCTGAAAAAAGAGAAAGTTTTATTACTCCTAATTTGATGACAAAAAGAGGAAACATCAAGAATTTTATAATGTAGGAATACTGTAGACACTCGATTATCCGGGATTCGAATATCCGGAAAATGCCCTTAAACGGCCAAAATTGTGACCGGATAAGTTATCTCAATATCCGGTCAAAATGTTCATGGGAGCCGGAATATCAGGTGTTTGGCCGGATCAGTGGCCTAACACTTGTTGTACACCACCACCAGGAAGGGAGGGAGTCACCCCTCACTGCTGTTCACTTCCTCTGTCCTGCCCACATTCACTTTCCCTCACTCCCTCCCTCCCCCAAGAGATCCTTCTGTAGTTGGCGGTAGATTGCCAGCCTGAAGAATTTCCATCTAATACAATAAAGCATTCATGAAACGAGTATTTTTATAACTTTTTATTATCCTAATAATATTGCTAAACAAAATCTGTAACCAAAAATATATATGATCATGTACTGTACATCCAGAATTTAAGAAACAATTCAGTGACGAGTGTAGGGTTATCCGAGTGAGCCCGTCCCTTCCCCCACCACCAGCCCCACATCCCATACACACACTGCATTAAAGTCACAGTTCAACTGTCTATAATTCCCTCCCTAAGGGAAGGAAGGAGGGAGTCGGTCAGGAAGAGAAGGAGGGAGGGAGTCGGTCAGGAAGGGAAGGGAAGGAGGGAGGGAGTCGGTCAGGAAGAGAAGGGAAGGAGGGAGGGAGTCGATCAGAAAGGGAAGGGAAGGAGGCAGGGAGTCGGTCAGGAAGAGAAGAGAAGAGAAGGAGGGAGGGAGTCAATCAGAAAGGGAAGGGAAGGAGAGAGGGAGGGAGTCAGTCAGGAAGGGAAGGGAACGAGGGAAGAAGTCGAAGGAGGGAAGGAGTCGATCAGGAAGGGAACAGAAGGAGGGAGGGAGAAGTGTTGAGTGTGTGGAGTAACAGATGTGATTTGTTAAGCCTACCAAGGAAGGTGGCATTGGAGGTGTTGCAAGAATTATATTGTTTTCTCATTGCTGTGGAGAGCTAGTTATGAATATTAAATAACACACTATAATAATTGAACAGTACAGTACAGTATTTGGTTGGCTATTTATTCATTTAAATATTTACAAGAAAATAAAATGGGATTTAAAAGAACTTGAGGCGCATTTGTTAAAAGTCATCGTACAGCGAGTCAACACCCACCCACCTGTTCACCCACCTGTTCACCCACCTGCCTGCATGCCCACCTGCCAACCCACCCACCTGTTTCCCCACCTGCCTGCCTGCCTGCCTGCCTGCCAACCCACCTGCCTGCCTGCCTGCCTGCCTGCCAACCCACCTTCCTGCTAGCCTACCCACCTGCCTGATAGCCCACCCAGTCACCTGTTCACCCATCTGCCTGCTTGCCCACCCACCCACCTGCCTACTTGCCCACCCACCCACCTGCCTGCCCACCCACTTTCCCTGCCCACCTACCAACTAGGCAGCTAACCACGCACCCAGCCCCACACACTAATTAGTGTTTGTCAATTCAAATCACGAGTGTGGTATAAAAATTGTTGGAAATGGTCCCTTTTGGACTCACGAGGTGAAAAAGTACTCTTATCCAGAACTTGTTATTATCTGGCTGGGGGGTCCTTCCCATATACCTGGTTGATGGGGATCTGGGAGTTCTTCTACTCCCCAAGCCTGGCCTGAGGCCAGGCTTGACTTGTGAGAGTTTGGTCCACCAGGCTGTTGCTTGGAGCGGCCCGCAGGCCCACATACCCACCACAGCCCGGTTGGTCCGGCACTCCTTGGAGGAATAAATCTAGTTTCCTCTTGAAGATGTCCACGGTTGTTCTGGCAATATTTCTTATGCTCGCTGGGAGGGTGTTGAACAACCGCGGACCTCTGATCTTTATACAGTGTTCTCTGATTGTGCCTATGGCACCTCTGCTCTTCACTGGTTCTATTCTGCATTTTCTTCCATATCGTTCACTCCAGTACGTTGTTATAGTATATGTTATATAGTCACTCAAGTATATGTTATATAGTCCGGATAATCAAGTGGAGACAGTACAGTTGATACCTGCTTGATACCTGCTTGATGGAGTTCTGGGAGTTCTTCTACTCCCCAAGCCTGGCCTGAAGCCAGGCTTGACTTGTGAGAGTTTTGTCCACCAGGCTGTTGCTTGGAGCGGCCCGCAGGCCCACATACCCACCACAGCCCGGCTGATCCGGAACTTCTCTTAGAAAACAGTCCAGTTTTCTCTTGAAGATGTCCATGGTTGTTCCGGCAATATTTCTTACAGTCGCTGGGAGGACGTTGAACAACCGCGGACCTTTGATGTTTATACAGTGCTCTCTGATTGTGCCTATGGCACCTCTGCTCTTCACTAGTTCAATCTTGCATTTTCTTCCATATCGTTCACTCCAGTACGTTGTTATTTTACTGTGAAGATTTAGGACCTGGCCCTCCAGTATTTTCCATGTGTATATTATTTGGTATCTCTCTTGTCTCCTTTATAGTGAGTACATTTGGAGAGCTTTGAGACGATCCCAATAATTTAGGCATTTTATCTCGTCTATGCGTGCCGTATATGTTCTCTGCATTCCCTCTATTTCAGCACTCTCTCCTGCTCTGAAGGGGAAAGTGAGTACTGAGCAGTACTCGAGACGGGACAACACAAGTGACTTGAAGAATACAACCATTGTAATGGGATCCCTGGATTTGAAAGTTCTCGTAATCCATCTGATCATTTTTCTGGCTGACGCGATATTTGCTTGGTTATGCTCCCTAAACGTTAGATCGTCGGACATCATTATCCCAAATCCTTGACATGCTGTTTCTCTACAATGGGAAGATACGATTGTGTTTTGTACCCTGTATTATGTTTCAGATCCTCATTTCAGAATTTAGATTCATTTCAGATCCTCAGTTGAATATAACGGAAAAGTATAGAATTTAACGAAAAAGTGTAGAATGTTACGTAAACACAGTACACCTTACAGAATCCTGCCATCACTTCCATCCTAAAGTAAGCTCTGCTGTGTTCTCTGGATAAGGATCATGATCGAATAGGAAACATCCTCAGTACTGTACTGGCACAGCAGGGAAAGTTGTACTTACAAAGTCATTAAATATGTTTGAGAGTCATTGGAGATTAGCTGAATCGAACCCAAAATGACCAACCGAGATGCATTCCATAAAATTTGAAAGCTGTGTACATGTTTTTTCCTTGAGATCAACCATGACTACTAAATGAGGACTCATTCTAACAGCCAACTAACTTCCTAGCAACCTACTTTTCTTGGATGCCATCAGATGTGAACTTTATCAAAACAAAATCCCAGACCGCCAGCGCCGCACTTTTTTCCCAAATACTGTTTACTCAACCTTCCGAGTCCGGAAACATGAAGGCGACAGGGGTAACCAAATAGCATCACACAGAATAGGTCTTTTCATATTTACTTAAGCCTTATCCAATGTTTTTAAGATACTGCACATTTAACTGTCTTCTAAGGTGAGAATCAAAAACCAACAAAAAACAAGCATTGAATGTAATGAAACGCCATTTTCTGGGCGAGTCCCGGAGGCGCCCCGGAGCTTATAGGCTAATATGCTTATGTCAGACTTTGGCCTCAGTTATGTGTATGGAGTTCTATGGGCCTACCGGCGACCACGGCCAGAACCTGCCCCCCTCAGAGAGGCAAGGGGAGCAATGGCCTATAGAAATTCTCCGTGTGATTGGAAGCATTCTATGTCTGCCATCAACCGGGTTAGGCCCCCAGAAAGGTAGGCATAACATAACAAACCCCTATTCTGGTGAAAATTGCAACCAAAAGCCAAACGAGTGGATAGAACTCCCCAAACAAAAACAAGCAAACTAGTATGACGTCACCTGTCGTCGCGCTGCTTCCTGCACACTTCCCGGGGAGGGGGAAGGGGTAGCCCCAAACCCACTGCGCCGGTGATACATACCCCAGTTCTGAGGCTGGATGTCAAAATACGCAAACAAAAAAACGCCAAACAGTGGGAGGGAGGGATGCTGGGGAACCTCCGAGACTCAACTAGAAAATGGCGTTTCATTACATTCAACGCTGGTTTTCTGGCGGAAGCCCCTACGGCTCCCCGGAGCTAACTACCCACAGATGAAAGAATAGGAACTTACCCGGGAGGCGGTTGCTGCTCACTCCTCAACCCGAAGTCGAGACTACTGGCTGCATCTGCCGACCCAAAGCGACACAGGCCTAACTGGGCCCAGGAACGCTTACAAGGTAATGAGCAGCCAGGACTGTGTTCGACTGCCAAAATACCCATGCTCGAATGTCAGCCCAGGACATATTGCCAAAGAAGTTCGCGGCAAGTTCGCGGCAAAAGCCGCGAACTTGCGGACATCATGGGAACGGGAATAGACTGCAGGCTGGCTAGCCTTAATAACACTGTGAACAACCTGGGAGACCCGCACCCTTGAACAGGGAAGAAGGGAAACCAGATCAATCCAAAGCGCATCCACGGACACAGAAGCCGTGGCGAGCAAATAACGGCGGAGAGCCATAACCGGACACAAAACATGATGCATCCCCGGCCTAACCAACCAAGCATCAACAACCCAGGGACCCCTCCGGAAAGCAACAGTCTCATTCTTCGTCAGAAAAGAAGGAGAAGGCTACAGACGAAAAAACCGATCTCCCTGACCGAAGGAGCAGAAACCTCTGTGCCGGAGGAGAGCATGAAGCTCACCAATCCGACTCCCAGAGGCCACTGCCAACAGGAAAAGAGCCTTCGAAAAACAATCCGAAACCGAAGGGACCACAACAAAATGAGAAGAAAGAAAAGAGAGCACTCTGTCCAAAGACCAGGACGGCTCAGGCGGTGCATGAGCAGGCCGGAGGTGAAACAACGCCCGAGACAGCTTGCGAAATGGTGCAGACGTGACATCAATACCGAAAGCAAGCTGAAGTGGCTCCACCAGCACTGCACAACACGAGGCGACAGTGTTAGACATAAGGAGACGGTCCTGGAACAACCAAGAGAAAAAGGGCAACACCACCCTAACAGAAAGCAAAGTACAACGACGAAGACGTAAGAAGAAGGACCGCCAAGAAACTTCATACTGCCACCGAGATGAAGCCCGCAGGTGGGATACTAATGAAGAAGCCACCTGATCACCATAGAGATATTGATAAGCTCGAGTCAAAAATACCATACACGAAGACTCAAGAAGATCGAACCATCCATGTGATGTACCAGTCAGATCTGCTGGAATAGGCGGAGCCACGGAAAAACCACCGGGTTCAGACACTGAGCAAGCAGTGCTTGAAACCACAGCTGAGCCGGCCACCAAGGGGCCAAGAGGACAACTCTCCCTTGGTAAGTCCCCAAGCAAGTCAGGACCTGGAGCAACAGCTGAATCAGGGGAAAGAGGTACATGAACCCCCATCTCGACCAGTCCTGCCAAATGACGTCGACCCCGACGGCCTTGCAGTCGGAAAAGGGCGCCACAGCAACGAGTGCCCTACAATCTATGCTGCACCCGCTGATGCTGAATTCCCATCAACAAGTCGTGCAGCCTCCACCGGTAATGAATGCTCTGCAAGCTATGCTGCACCCGCCGATACTGAATTCCCATGGACAAGTTGTGCAGCCTCTGCCGGCAACGAATGCTCTTCAAGCTATGCTGCACCCACCGATGCTGAATTCCCATCGATAAGTTGTGCAGCCTCCGCCGGCAACGAAAAACTCGTTTTACTGTGTTCAGGGTAAAACAAAGCACATCTCTAAAATTTTATTGAGAAAATATTAACAATCACTGATTGATACATGAAATATTTTGCAATACAAAGGAATGAACCAATTTTTTCCCACCCATCTGGACTTGATCAGACTGTGTTCACACATCATCCATGCAGCAGCCACCAGCTGGCTTAAACTTCGGCATGGCACTAAATTGGAATGCAATTACACAATGAACTTTATTTAATTTTAGTTTTACAGTATAAAATATATCCTACCTGAATGTTACTTGAAAAATTACCCGACCCGACTTAACTTCGGAAATAACGGAACTCTGGAAATAACAACCAGGGTACAGCCCCATATAGGCCGTTAAATTGAGTGGATACTGTCCTCCCCAGTCCCAGGATTCCCAAAGTCTGTACCCGGGGCAGAGCAGTCCTTCGTACCCTCTACCCCTGAAGAAAAGGCAGAGTCCAGGGGAAAATGTAGAAAAGAAGCCAGCCTGCTGGAGGGACCCAGAAGCCTCGAGCAGAGGAACTGGCTCGAATGCTTCTGTCCCCAGCCCAAACGGGGCAGCCCCCGAAGCTCCGAAACTCTCAGACGTTTGGGAGCCGGAAGCAGGGAGGGGGGGGGGGGGGTGAACAACCGAGGAAGGACCAGGTTGAGTGGACTGAACCAAAGTCAAAGACTAATGCCTCCAATTCCGGGTCCCGATAACCAAAACGGGGCATCAGGGTGGCCAACCAACCTAGAGCGTTGCAGCAACCAAAACCGAGCATACAACGCAGATGCCACTAGTACCGAATATCAATGTTATCAGAATGGGTAAACTAAAGAACATGCTGAGAACATGACTCGCAAGACTCCAGGTTAAAGGTGCCATTGACCCAACAGGCAGCACGATGAAGGCAAGAGCAATGACTGTCACCCTAAGACAAGGGCACACAGCAATCTTCAAACTTGTACGAGACGAGCTGGAACTCGGAAGAGTTCCATAGGTCCACTGAGCTCCGACAGGGTTTTCCAGGGCCTGTAGACTGACTGCTATGGGAAGCTCAGGCAAGGTATTGCTAACCGATTAGACATAACGCTAACAAAGCTTGCGATTTCTAACAGAGATCACAACACTGAAACCCCTATGACATGTACAATCACAGGGGCCTAGCAGAGGGCCACAAAATATTATAAGTGGTCCTACAGCCACACCAGGTAGACCCCCCCGCCAAGCAAACAAAACAAAATGTAAAAGAAAAAACCCACAAAAGTGCAACGTCCCCAGAGGAAACAGGAACCAACCGCTGCAAAGGTAAGCTGGCTGTGCAACACCTTGAAGCCCGAACCCTAGCAACAATACCACTCCCTACCCAAGGCCGAACAAAGGCCACGAAACCCCAGTTGATCTCAAGGGCGAGGTAAAGGCCGAGCAGCAAGAACCGCCTATGGAAATAGCATCCCAAACACACCAGGGAAGATAACCCTGACACGCAGCGATAGTACTCACAGGGCACTTAGGGAAGGCTGCCATAAGTGTATGCAGCTCCGGTACACTTCAGGTACACCTGGCCACCACACCACGAAACAGCAGAGGCCACCACGAAGGTAAAAACACTGCCAGGAAATCGAGGTCAGAGTTGACGAACGCCCCGGATTGCACTATCCAACAAACTGAGGTTGGGTAGCCAGCGTTGTGGGTCCAGGGCTTTCCCCTGCAGGGGGGCATCATGTGGCATTTGCTTATTTGTTGGTTTCCTTGGGAATTGAGGGAGTTCTGCTTCTCTGTTCGGTTTTTGGTTGCAATTTTCTTACTATGTGGGGTCTGTATTGTTATGCCTACCTTTCTGGGTGCTTAACCCTAGTTGATGGAAGATAAGGAAAACCCGCCCAACCACAAGGGGGTTTTCCAGGGGCCACTGCTCACTGTGCCTCTATGAGGGGGCCAGGTTTTGACTCGTGGTCCCCGGTAGGCTGAACTCCTCTGACCAATGCCCTGGTTTAATGAATTGCATATTAGCCAGATAGCTCCAGGGAGCCTCCGAGGCTCCCTAACGAAAAGGGAACTTAACTAATAAGAGGTCCATGCACAAAATATGTGACATGTATTGGGTGACTAGGACTGGTAAGGTATACATATGAGCAGTTGAGAAGCCCTACTTATGTCACTTGATTCCAAGTGAGGACTGAGTAGGGCTGAAAGCAATACTTGACATGATTACGATTTCCTCTAGTGCCTCCCAAATTCCTGAAAAAACCTTCCTGACTGTCCATGAACTCTCAGGCTGACATAACAAATTCTTACTTTAATGAGCAACTGAATACAGTAACTCAGAAGAATGTATAGAACTCTTCTGAAAGGAATTAGAAAGTGAGAAGAAATATTATTCAATGAAAAACAAAAACACAGTATACTTACCATTCTGGATCTCCATGTAGTTCACAAAATCCCTGATGGTTTCTTTTACATCATGTGTGGCAGACACAAGGGAAGACTGCAGGCAAGGTGCAGAAGGCTGAAAAACACTTTTTGCAATTCCAAATACTGCAATCTTGTCTCTTTGTTGTAGAGTGGAGATTATTTGGTGACCTGTCACAAGAACGACACGGTATGAACTTTGGTGACTATTGTAAACACTGAAAGGAATAGTTTTTCAAACTGTAGCACAAAAAAACAGCGTTCAATGTAATGAAACGCCATTTTCTGGGAAAGACATTGAGGCTCCCCGAAGCTGATATGTATATTATTAGACTTTGGTATCAGTGTAAATGGAGTACTAGGCCTACCGAGAACCATGAGCCAAAACCTGGCCCCTCTCAGTGCCTCTCAGTGAGGCACGAGGAGCAATGACCTATAAAAGTGCACGTGTGATTCCGAGTATTCTATGTCTGCCGTCGACCGGGCCAGGCACCCAGAAAGGTAAGCGCATCAAAACAAACCCCTATTCTGGTTAAAACTACTACTGAAAACTAACTAGTGGACAAAACTCTCCAATTGAAAACGAGCAAAGGACCATGACGTCACACTTGCCATGCCACTTGTCTGAGCAGCTCGCCCCACCCTGGGAACGGGAAGGGGAGCCCCAGACCCCTAATGCCGACTATCCATACCCCAGTTCGAGACGATGTCAAAACATGCAAAAAACCAGCGTTGAATATAATGAAACGCCATTTTCTGGGTGAGCCCCGGAGGCTCCCTGGAGCTTATCGGGCTAATGTATGTTATATTAGACCGGGACATTAGCTAAGGAGTTCAGACCTACCAGGGACCAGCGTCAGAACCTGGCCCCTTCAGAGAGGTTTCAGGGAGCAATGGAACTGGAAATCCCTATTGTGGTTGGGGTTTTCCTTATCTGCCATCAACCAGGGTCAGGCACCCAGAAAGGTAGGCATGACAAAACAAACCACACATGGTAAAAAACTAAAACAAAAAAACGAACAGAGAGGTAGAAACTCCCTACAATCCCAAGGAAACAAGCAAACAAGAAAACATCACACTTTACTGCCACGCAGATCATCCGCGCAGCCCTCCCCGCCCCGAGAGAGGGAGGGGGGAGCCCCGGACCTACTGTGCCGGCTGTCAAGCTTCAGTTCGGAAGCTAAGCTTCAACCAACGCGAAAAAAACGCTGACTGGTGAGAGGGAGAGTTGCCAGGGAGCCTCCAGGGCTTACCCAGAAAATGGTATTTCATTACATTCAACGCTGGTTTTCTGTGGGGAGACCCTACGGCTCCCTGGAGCTTCATACCCAAAGAGAAGGAAAAGAATGGACTAACCCGGGAGGCAGCCGCCACAAACTCCCCAACGCGAAGCCGAGACAACAGGATGCAACCTGCGACCCAAGGCAACAAGAACGCACCGGAGCAGACACGCATAAAGAATGGGCAACCAAGAACCTGTGCGACCCTCAATTCCCTGCGCCCAATATGAGCCCTAGACGTCACCAACACAGCAGCAAAAGCTGCAAACATCTGAACAGCACAGGCGCAAGGACAGACCGCAGGCTGGAAGACTGAAAAACTCTGCGGACTCTCCCCCTGGGAGACCCGAGCCCTGAAACAAGGAACTGTAGTCCTGAAAACACACAGGACAAGACAACCCGATGCGAAACGAGAAGACAACCTATGAAGAGCAAGAAAAAGGTGCATAGAAACACCAGTAATGTCATACTGTCGCCGAGACGAAGCTCGCAGGTGGGACATCATCAACGAAGCCACCTGATAACGACAGAGATGGTGATACCCGCGTCAAAATACCAGATGCAAAGAGCTGAGGAGAAGGCCGAACCAGTCACGTACAGGACTGTTCTGACCTGCCGAAAGAGACGGAGCCGCGAGAAAACGCCCCGGGTTCAGACACCTATCAAGCAGCTCGTCTCATTTATATCATTGGTAAGTAAAATTAAATTATTTTTTATTTTTCCCATGATCAGCGAACACAAATGAACACTTATACAAAACGAAATAATTTTTTTGAATTTTTTCTTGCACCTGGGCATGTTGTAGGTTTAAATTGCAAGAGCAGCCCAGGGGTTAGGAGGGAACTTGTTAAACCTCTACAAAGGATATCCAATCAGCTGGGCTGTGGTACATATTTTGTACTCCATGATGCAAGCACCAACAGTTTCACTAATCTGAATGTCAAATAGAAGACTTGATCAGAGATAGAGCCATAGATGCAGAGACTCCCAAAGCTACTAAACTGAAGTCTTATGAAATTAAAAGTTTTCCTAATGCCAGCACAGTTGCTAAAAATTGTAATGTTCCAGACATTAACAATTTTGATGGTCAATGGTGCCACTTTGACCATCAAAAACATGAAGCAATAGTTCAAAATTCATTATTACTGTTTAAATATATTATATCAGAAGTAACTTTTACGAGCAAAGTGTTGTACAGTATTAATAAATCTTAATGTCAGATATGAAAGAACAAGTTATTTTTCATCGGCAAACTTGATGTCACAGTGCTAGCAAGATCATAAAAGTCCAATCTTGTAATTTTTGTAGCATTTTAGGATATAAGAAATCTTACTAAACAAAGGACATTACATAGCATATACTGTATGAAGATTTTATCCATCAGAGTAATAAACCATTCCAGCTATAAAACTAAGGTGAGACAAAAGCATTAACAAAATTGTGCATTAATACCACTTGGGACCAGATCTTGCCTTACATACACAAAGAACAGCGAAAAGGTTAATGTAGCATGCAGTAAGAGTATGTAAAACTTACCAATAGCTTTTGCTGTCAAGAGAAGTCTTGGGGTAAGAGATTCTCCCAAGTCATAGAGAAGCACAATGTTCCAACCGCTGGGTCTCACAGTTGCTTCATAAATATGACGATGGCGGGACGACTGGCCACAGTCTGCACCAATGCTTGTTCCTGAAGGGACACAACATTTTATTAAAACATTATATACTGGCTATGATTGTATGTAGTGGTGATATGTAGTGCTGCTGGTACACAGCAGTGATATATGGTAACAATACAATGTAGAGGTTGTATATGGTGGTGATATGTTGTGTAAGGTGGAGCTGTTGGTGTTGCAGTACAAAATGTGATTTTTTTTTTAATATGTGATGATGTGATGTGGGTGATGGTATGCAGTTTTTTTTTTTTTTTTTTTTGGTTGTTTTGCAGGGATATTCCTGCTCAGGCCCTCAGACTTTGGCTGGCAATACCTGCTTGATACCTGGTTGATAGGGTTCTGGGAGTTCTTCTACTCCCCAAGCCCGGCCCGAGGCCAGGCTTGACTTGTGAGAGTTTGGTCCACCAGGATGTTGCTTGGAGCGGCCCGCAGGCCCACATACCCATCACAGCCCGGTTGGTCCGGCACTCCTTGAAGAAAACAATCTAGTTTTCTCTTGAAGATGTCCATGGTTATTTCTAATGCTCGCTGATAGCACGTTGAACAACCGCAGACCTCTGATGTTTATACAGTGTTCTCTGATTGTGCCTATTGCACCTCTGCTCTTCACTGGGTCTATTTTGCATTTTCTTCCATGTCGTTCACTCCAGTACGTTGTTATTTTACTGTGCAGATTTGGGACCTGTCCCTCCAGTATTTTTCATGTGTATATTATTTGGTATCTCTCTCGTCTCCTTTCTAGTGAGTACATTTGGAGAGCTTTGAGACGATCCCAATAATTTAGGTGCTTTATCTCGTCTATGCGTGCCGTATATGTTCTCTGTATTCCCTCTATTTCAGCAATCTCTCCTGCTCTGAAGGGGAAAGTGAGTACTGAGCAGTACTCAAGACGGGACAACACAAGTGATTTGAAGAGTACAACCATTGTGATGGGATCTCAAGACATGAAGGCTCTCGTAATTCATCCTATCATTTTTCTGGCTGATGCAATACTTGCTTGGTTATGCTCCCTTAACGTTAAGTCGTCGGACATCATTATTCCCAAATCCTTGACATGCTGTTTTCCTACTATAGGCAGATTCGATTGTGTTTTGTACCCTGTATTATGTTTCAGATCCTCATTTTTGCCGTATCTGAGTACCTGGAATTTATCACCGTTAAACATCATGTTATTTTCTGCTGCCCAATCGAAAACTTTGTTAATGTCTGTTTGTAGTTATTCAATGTCTTCAGCAGAGGTAATTTTCATGCTGATTTTTGTATCATCTGCAAAGGATAACACGAAGCTGTGACTTGTATTTTTGTCTATATATGATATGAGAATAAGGAACAGCATGGTGCAAGGACTGTACCTTGAGGTACAGAGCTTTTAACTGCGCTCGGACTCAATTTTACTTGATTGACTGTTACTCTTTGTGTTCTGTTTGACAGGAAATTGAGTATCCAGCGTCCTACTTTACCAGTTATACCCACTGACCTCATTTTGTGTGCAATCACTCCATGGTCACATTTGTCTAATGCCTTTGCAAAGTCTGTGTTTGCGATGGAGGTATGTGATGGTGGTGGTATATGATAGTGATAGAAAATGGCCGTGGTGAGTGTGAATGACAAGATTGGCTACCCAGATCACCAGGCAGCCGCGGTTGCCATCTAATGGTGATCAAGTGCTATGAACCAGTGATTCAGCCTAGTAAATGATTGTTTACATAGGTTAGCACTGCAAATGTGTGCTATGCAATTGCAGGTTTTGGTGCATGCTACCATGCTGGTCTTTCCTTCGGGTACTTTGATGCTTCTAGACCCATATACCCTATTGAGTGGAGGGAGGGGGGGGGGGCAAAAATTCTGGTAATGTTCTCTGGCAGACGCTTATGAATCAATAGAAGCTGAAGGGGGTCAGTGTCCACTACTGTCTCCCATGGTCAATGTTCTCTACTGTCTCCTATGGTCAATGTTCTCTACTGAGAAGGGGAAGATCCAGACCCCGTGCAGCGATTCAACTACCAATTCTTAGGCTGGATGTCAAAATACATGAAAAACACTGCAGACCAGAGGGAGGGAGGGATACCGGGGAGCCTCCGGGACTCACCCAGAAAATGGTTCTTCATTACATTCAACGCTGGTTTTCTGGGAGAAGCCCCATCGGCTCCCCGGCACTAACTACCCAAAGACAAAGAAAATCAGGGACTTACCCGGGAGGCAGTCAGTCCTCACTCTTCAACACAAAGTTGAGACAACTGGCTGCAACCACCGACCTAAGGCAACACAGGCCCAACTAAACCCAGGAACATTCACGAGGTAGCGTGCAACCAGAACCCTGTTCGACTGCCAAAAACCCCATGCCTGAATGTCAACCCAAGATATGTTGCCAAAGACGGCAGCCAATCTTGAGTTATCTTGAGATGATTTTGGGGCTTAGTGTCCCCGTGGCCCAGTCCTCGGCCAGGCCTCCTTTTTGTTACAAACCCCCCAGGAGCAGCCCATAGCAGCTGTCTAACTCCCAGGTACCTATTTACTGCTAGGTGAACAGGCCCATCAGAGTGCAAGAAACTCTGCCCATTTTTGTTTCCACCTCCACCGGGGATCGAACCCTGAACCTCAGGACTGCGAATCCGAAGCGCTGTCCACTCAGCTGTCAGTCATCCTAAAAGGCAGCAAAGTTACGAACATCGTGGGCACAAGAATAGACTGCAGGCTGGCTAGAATTAATAACCCTGCGGATGACCTGAGAGACTCGAGCCAGGGAAGGAGGGAAACCAGGTCAACCCAAAGCGCATCCCTGGCCACCAAAGCCGTGGCGTGCAAATAACGGTGGAGAGCCGCAACAGAACACAATGATGTACCTCCGACCTGATCAATCAAGCATCAACAACCCAAGGACTCCTCCATAAACCAGCTGTCTCATTCTTCGCCAGGAAAGAAGGGGGGATGGCTGCAACTGAACAAACCTACCACCAGGACCGAAGGAGCAGGAACCTCTGCGCCGGAGGAGAGCATGAAGCTCCCAGACCCAACCCCCAGAGACCAATGCCAAACAGGAAAAGAGCCTTAGAAAAACAATCCTGAACCGAACAAACAAACTGAGGAGAAGAGAGAAAAGAGAGCACCTAGTCCAAAAACCAGGACAGCTCAGGAGGTGCATGAGCAGGCTGGAGGTGTAACAATGCACGAGAGAGCTTGCGAAATGGAGAAGAAGTAACATCAACACAGAACGTAAGCTGCAGCGGCTCTGCCAGCACCGCACGATACAAGGCGACAGTATTCGGCATCTGATGAGGGTCCTGGAACAACCACGAAAGTAAAGACAAAACAACCCTATCAGAGACCAAAGAACACCTACGCAGTGATAGGAAAAACCGGAGGGACTGCCAGGAAACTTCATACTGCCGCCGAGACAAAACACGCAGGTGGGAGACCAACAAAGAAGTCACCTGCACCCCATAAAAGTGATGATAAACTCGAATCAGAAACTCTAGACTCGAACACTCGAGGAGAAAAACGAACCAGCCTCGTACCAGGCTGGATCGATTTGTTGAAAGAGGGGAGCCGCGGGAAGACCCTTCGGTTCGGACATTGAGCAAGCAGTGCCTGAAACCAAGGCTGGGCCGGCCACCAGGGAGCCAGAAGGACGGCTCTTCCCTAGTAAGTCTCCAAGCAAGCCAGGACCCAGAGTAACAGCTGACCTGGGGGAAAGAGGTACAGGGAGCCCCACCTCACTCAGTCCTGCCAAAAAGCATCAACCCCAAAGGCCTCGCAGTCAAGGAAAGGTGCCACTCATACTGGGAGACGTCTCGACCTCGCCAACACGAAGAGATCCACTTCCGGGGGCTCAAAAGTCCGGCAGACCCAACTGAACGAGTTGGCGTCGGCCGTCCATTCCGTGGACAGGCGAATGAACCGGGACAGGCGGCCCCTTCCCCCCTTCAATACATTGGATACCCCATGAATGTGAACTGCCAGGAGAGCCAAACCCCGAGAACTCAGCAGATGAGTCGCTCAAAGCGACTCACATTTGGCCCCAAAGAGCCAAAGACCGCAGGGAACCACCTCGGTTCAGGCAATGATCCATCGGGAAACAGTCCGAAAGGAAGCCTGATCATCGATACGTGAGCAACCCGAATCCTCTAGAGTGACATCCACACCACCACGAACTCCCGTACCATGTTGTGAGCCCAACGGAACGACGGACCCCACCGAACCCAGGCGAGCCTGGTTAGCACTGGGCACAAAGCCCTGGCCTAGACACAACGTGTCCGTGAACACATCGATCGAGGGCTCAGGTTGGCGCCAAGGCACTAAACCCCAAAAAACCCTTAGAGGAAGCTGGCAACGCAGCAACCGACACAAAGCTCCCAGGGGCCAAACCCAGTGGTCGCAGGAGAGGCGGAAGGGACGTCCCCGAAGGAACCAGAACAGACGATCAAGTCACACCAGACCCGGCAGGTAGACCATCATGGCAAAGTTCAGGCTCCCGTACAAACCCTCGAGCAACCGCCACGTGACTCGGGAGCCCTTCAGAAACAGACGAAGGCAGGAACGCAGACGAAGCAGAGCTGCCGGAGGCAGAGACAAGGAAGCAGTCCAAGCATCCTACACAAGACCCAGCCAAGACCAAACTCAAGATGAAACCAGATGGGACTTCCGCCAGTTCATTAAGAACCCGGACCCAGCAAGCTGGGAAAGAATCAAATCCCTGGCGAGCAGACACGAGGACCGACCAGGAGCCCAAACCAGCCAGTCGTCAAAGTAGGCCAGGACCTGAACACCCAACAGACGCAAGCAGGTCACCACGACCCACGTAAGGCATGTGAAAATGCAAGGCACCAGATTCCAGGAGAATGGAAGGCAACGTAAACGGTAACGTTGACACCCCACAACAAAACTGAGCCAATCCCTGAACCTCGGATGAACCGGGAAGTGCCAATACACGTACTTGAGGTCCAGGGACCTCATCCAAGTGCTCGGCTCCAACAGAAGATGGACCTGAGAGAGTAGTCATTCGAAAGGAGGGGCAATAAACCCACAGGTTCAGACGGGACAGAATGAACCTCCTTGTTCATTTTCCAGTTCAGAATGAACCAGAGGTCCGCGCAGTCCCGTTTCATGGACCGGAAACAGGCGAGAAACCCACCTGAGGGACGAGGTCGTTTTTTTGACCAGTCAAACCCCAAGAACTCAGCAGACGAGTCACCCAAAGCAACCAGCCCCAAAGAGCCAAGGACTGCATTGATCCCCCGCGGTTCAGGCAATGAACCACAGGGGAACAGGCCGAATGGAGCCTGATCGTCGATCCGCAAGTCACCTGAACCCTCCGGAGAGACATTCATACAGCCACGAACTCTCGCACCGTGCTGTGAGCCCGACGGAAGGATGAACCCCACTGCCTCTAGCCAGCCACCAGGCCCCAGCCAAGATACGACATGTCCGTGATGCTTGTTTGCTTGTTTTCTGATTGGGAAGTTCGCTTGCATGTTTGATTTTCGGTTTGCAATTTGTAACCAGCTGTAGTTCATTTTGGGATTCCTATCATTCTGAGCACCTGACCTGGTAGTTGGCAGACATAGGCTGCTTCCAACTACATGGGGGTGTCTATAGGCCATTGCTCCTCGTGCCTCTCTGAGGGGGGCCCAGGTTCTGACTCATGGTTCCCAGTAGGCTAAGAATTCCACCGATTGACTGTTGCCATGGTCTACTATACTGTGTACACATCCGCCCGGTATAGCTCCAGGGAGCCGGAGAGGCTCTCCACAGAAACCTAATAGCCAGGGGCCCAAGTGGATTCCAAAGAGAGAGTGAGCACAGCCTGACGGTACATGAGGCGAGAAGCAAAGAACAGAGACACCGCCTCCTTCAGGGTGGGGTACAAATACAGTAGCTTCAACAGTGCTGCAGACTCCTTAGCCACCAAGGACAGCACATCAGACGAATGCCCAGCACTCAGCCTCTCCACATCCTCCTCAAGCCAGATTAAAGACAGCTCAAGAAGGGAAAAGAAGCACAAGACCGAAGTCAAATGACCCACCGGCGCGCAAATCCCCAGCAGCCAAGGAGGACGTTGAAAGGGTTGGAACCTGAACGTGCAGCTGCACAAGGCCAACTTCCCGAGAAAGCACAGAGGGCGAACAAGCACGCATTAAGGTGCTCAAACTCGCCCCCTAGGTAAACCTGCAGAACGGTAAAATTTCTTGCCACTCAAGTGTACGGGTCCAACAGAACCCATGCCATGCCCCCAATGAAAAGAATGGGCAGTCTGCCAGCTAGGAAGACTCCGGAACCTCCAAATGCACCCAATTTTCAACTTCTTCCACCCAAGTTCGGAAGAAGAACCGAACTCAAATAAAGACGGATCCATCACGGAGGCGGAATCCATGTCTCGCAGGAGATACACAGTAGGAACCTCCCGAACCACCTAAGGAAAGATTCAAGAGGCAGTAAACCTCCTGAAGGATGAGGCCGAAGAACCCAAGGGAGCCCCGAAGGCGCCCTTGGGTTCCGAACCTGGGGAGGAGCCGACCCCAAATCATACTCATTCAGGGAAGAGGGTGTTAAGAAAATCCCTCCCCCTACAACAAGCCCAGCAAAGAGGGCAACACCCAAGTGGGATCAAAGACTCCGAAACTTTCAGATGTCTGGGAGCCTAAAGCAGTGGAAGAAGGTGCAGGATGAACAACAGGGGAAGGACCAGGGAGTGCGGACTGAACCAAAGTTGAAGCGGCTAGAATCCCCAGGTCCAGGTCCCATATAACCAAAGTGGGGCATGCGGGTAGGAGGACCAACCTAGCGCGTGCAGCAACTTAAACCTAGCATGCAATGCGAATGCTTCCTGTACCCTAACAGTAATGTCATCAGAATAGTACTGAAAAATAAGCAGAGCGCACGACTCGCAAGACTCCGGATCAAAGGTGTCGTTGACCCAACAGGCAGCATGACGGAGGCAAAAGAGGCGACTTGTCACCCTGAGACAAGGGCACACAGCAACCTGCGAACCCGCACGAGGCAGGCTGGAATACGGAACACACATCCATATGTTCACCGAGCCCCAACAGGATTTTCTAGGGCCTGTAGGCTGACTGTTATGGGAAGCCCAGCCAAGGTGTTGCTAACTGGTTTAAGACTCAGAGCTAACAAAGGGTAGAGCAAAACACAGAAACTCCTGCGACATGTACAATTACGGAAGCCTAGCAGAGAGCCACCAAAATATTATAAGTGCAACGATAGCCACACTAGGCAGACCCCCACCAGGAAAGAAAAACAAAAACAAAAGAAAACCCGGCAAAAGTATAACATCCCCAGAGGAAACAGGAACCGGCCGCCGCGTAGGTAGGGTGGCTGCACAACACCTTGATGCCCCAACCAGCACGATACCACTCCCTACCCAAGGCAAACAAGGGCCACGAAACCCCAGCTGACCCGAAATGCAGTGTAAATGCCGAGAAGCAAAAATCCCTACGGAAATGGTTTCCTGAACACACCAGTGAAGGGAACCCTAACACGCAGCCGGTCGGCCGAGCGGACAGCACGCTAGACTTGTGATCCTGTGGTCCCGGGCTCGATCCCGGGCGCCGGCGAGAAACAATGGGCAGAGTTTCTTTCACCCTATGCCCCTGTTACCTAGCAGTAAAATAGGTACCTGGGTGTCAGTCAGCTGTCACGGGCTGCTTCCTGGGGGTGGAGGCCTGGTCGAGGACCGGGCCGCGGGGACACTAAAAAAGCCTCGAAATCATCTCAAGATAACCTCAAGATAACGCAAGGGTAGTACTCACAAGGCACCTAGGGAAGAATGCCCCTAAGTGCATGCAAACATGGCAGTGATGAGTAACACCGTGCCAGCACACATAACAACACTGCAGTGTCCCCCCACGAAGGCAAAACACCGTCTTGGAAATTGAGGCCAGAGAAGACATCTACTCTGGACCATTGGGGGGGCCTCGTAGCCTGGTGGATAGCGCGCAGGATTCGTAATTCTGTGGCGCGGGTTCGATTCCCGCACGAGGCAGAAACAAATGGGCAAAGTTTCTTTCACCCTAAGTGCCCCTGTTACCTAGCAGTAAATAGGTACCTGGGAGTTAGTCAGCAGTCACGGGCTGCTTCCTGGGGTGTGTGTGTGTGGTGTGGAGAAAAAAAAAAAAAAAAAAAGTAGTTAGTAAACAGTTGATTGACAGTTGAGAGGCGGGCCGAAAGAGCAGAGCTCAACCCCCGCAAAAACACAACTAGTAAACACATCAGCAAATGAACTGGAGTGCTGCATAGCCAGTGAGAGGAGGTTCGTGGGGGATCCCCCTCCCCTCTTAGGGAGGGCTGTGCAGATGAGCAGCGGTGGAGTGTGACGTTTACTTGTTTCCTTGGGATTGGAGGGAGTTTTGCCTCTCTCTTTTCGGTTTTTAGTTGTAATTTTCTTACCATGCGCGGTTTGTTTATGCCTACCTTTCTGGGTGCCCAACCCCAGTCGATGGAAGAGATGGAAAACCCCCAACCACAGAGGGGGGGGGGGTTTCTTGGGCCATTGCGCCCTGAAACCTCTCTGAGGGGGGCCAGGTTCTGGCTCGTGGTCCCCGGTAGGTCGAACTCCATAGAGTAATGCCCTGATCTAATATATCACACATTAGCCCGATAACTCCAGGGAGCCGAAGGGGCTCCCCTCAGAAAATCTACAGAAAATCTACAGAAAATCTAGTCGATATGAAGAGAGACTCCAAATATCATCAGAAATAAAAAACTAAATAATGTATTATGTGAACTATAAGGCATCCAGGCCAGGGATACCTTATTAAAATGAACATTACAGTACAACAAATAAAACAATTTATTTATTATATATATCCTGATATTTTTTTACACAAAAATCAAATGACAAACATACCTGCTCTATGGGCTGGATATTCAGTGTGTAGACCATTCACCGACATAAAGTATTGCCACTTAATGGAGGGATATCTTCGCAAATTCATTATAAACACTGAAAATAATAATGATTGCATTATTACCAGTGCACAGCTCAAAAGTCAATAATTTCCTATTACAAAGGTAAACATAAATAGTGTCATTCGTATCAAAGCTACTGTATGTAAGGATACGAATGTCATTCCTGCCATTCATATCCTTACATAACTCCATAGCCAGCCCAATGCTGATACCCCCTTCAGGTATTTCTACTGTCATATAGCTCCATATCCTACACAATAATGGTATACATCATCCAAACAATGTACCATCTAATTGTGTTCACCACTTTGCTCTCGAGTTTCATTCTTCTTCAACTCCATTATCACTTCGGCAATTATTAAGTCAGAATCAGATTTTCCATAGCGCTATGCTAGAAATGAGGAATGCATTCCAACCACCAAAAATCAACATATACACCCCAAATTTTTGTTTACAATATAAAAACTTTTTTGTTTACCTTGAATAATGAAATTGTGTTTCTTGTCTGATTTGATGCTTTTTTAAAAAACAAGAGAAGTATATTTACTATACAAGGATGCGGAGATACATGAGCAAAGATGCATCACCAATACACTTCCTGAGAAAATCCACTAAGGCTGTGAGGTGGGTACAAACCTAAGACTAAGGTCATTGCCAAGCTGCGTACTCTATACAAGCCGCAATACACTTCCTCTTATCAGCCAACATTGAGGAATTATTCCTCTATAAACAACTGAAATATCTAAAAACAATAGTGCCTCAATAGTACTGATAGTAATGTGGGGACTCAGAACTGACTTTGTATTAGTGGTACGAGGGGTAGGGATGACATAGGGACTTGAGAGGCCATTCAGAAAATCAGATATCCATAAGATGGTATAGAATGGCATGGTTACACCATAAAATGTATCTTAGCATAATGTAACAAGTATGTAATCACACTGCACAGTAAAAAACCAGCATTAAACGTAATGAAACGCCCTTTTCTGGGCGAGACCAACGGCACCCCAGAGCCAATGGGCTGATATGAATAAATTAGACTCTGGCATCAGTCAATGCACATGAAGTCATAGGCTTGCTGGGGACCACGAGCCAAAACCTGGTACCCTCAGAGAGGCACGAGGAGCAATGGTCTATAGAACCCCCCCCCACCCTGAGAGGTTGGAAGCCTTCTATGTCTGCCATTGATCGAGTCAGGAACCCAGAAACGTAAGCACTTCAAAACCCCAATTCTGGTTAAAATATTGCTACTGAAAGCCAAACTAGTGGATAGAACTCCCCAAATGAAAACGAGCAAACGAGCATGACGTCACCACGTCACTATCTGCGCAACCCCCCCCCCCCTCGAAGGGAGAAAGGGGAGCCCCAGACACCCACGCCGGCTATCCACACACCCTAGTTCTGAGGCCGGATGTCAAAACACGCGAAAAACCGCTGACTGGAGGGAGGGAGGGATGTCAGGGAGCCTCTGGGTCTCACTCAGAAAATTTCATTACATTCAACATTGGTTTTCTGAGGAGAGCCCCTTCGGCTCCCCGGAGCTACTTAACCAAAGATAAAGGAAAAGAAGGACTTACCCGGGAGGCGGCTGCCACTCGCTCCTCAACTTGAAGTCAAGACAACTGGCTGTAACCTGCGCCCCAAGGCTACACACACCCGAGAAGGGTCAGGAACATGAACAAGATACCATGTGGCCAGGACCCTGTTCAACCTCCAAAAGCCTCGTGCCCGAATGTCAGCCCAGGACATATTACCAAAACAGCAGCCAAAGCCACGAGCTTACAAATGTTGTGGACATGGGGATAGACCGCAGGCTGGCTGGAGAGAATAATCCTACAGATGACCTGAGAGACCCTCACCCAGGTAAAGGGAAGAAGGGAAACTGGGTCAACCCAAAGCGCGTACCCTGCCACAGAGGCCATGTTGCGCAAGTAACAGTGAAGAGCCGCAACTGGGCACAAAACCTGATGCACCCCCGGCCGAACCAACCAAGCATCAACAACCCAAGGACCCTTCCGGAAAGCACAAGTCTCATGCTTCGCCAGAAAAGGAGGAGATGGCTGCAACCGAACAAACCGACCACCAGGACCGAAAGAGCAGAAACCTCTGCACCAGAGGAGAGCATGAAGCTCCCCGACCCAACCCCCAAAGGCAAATGCCATCAAGAAAAGAGCCTTAGAAAAGCAGTCCTGAACCGAAGGGGCCATCACAAATTGAGGAGAAGAGAGAAAAGAGAGTCACCTAGTCTAAAGACCAGAATGGCTCAGATAGTGCATTAGCAGGCCGGAGGTCAAACAACGCCTGAAAAAGCTTGCAGAAATGACATCCACCCCAAACGCATGCATAACAGGCTCCGCCAGCGCTGCACGACATGAGGCGACAGTACAGTATTCGGCATGAGATGATGGCCCTGAAACAACCAAGAGAGAAAGGACAAAACAAACTGATCAGAAATCAAGGCAACTTACAAAGAGACAAAAAGTGCCAAAAGGACCGCCAAAAAACTTCATACTGCCACCTAGATGAAACTCTCAGGTGAAACACCATCAATGAAGTCACCTGATCACCACACAAGTGGTGATAAACCCGCATCAAAAAGACCAGACATGAAGAGTGGAGGAGAAGTTCAAACCAGCCATGTACCAGACTGGACAATTCTGCTGAAAGAGGTGGAGCCGCAGGAAGACCCTCGGGTTCATACACCGAGCCAGAAGCGCCTGAAACCAGGGCTGTGCCGGCCACCAAGGGGTCAACAAGGCTACAAACAAGCAAACTAAAAGCTAAACCCATGCAATGTGCGCAATCATGGGAAGGGCCACCAAAATCATACAAGTGGTCCTACAGCCACACCAGGCAAAACAAAACAAAAGAAAAAGAAAATCCCCGCAAAAGCACAACATCCCCAGGGAAACAAAACAGGCCGTTATGCATATATAAGACAGCTGCACAGTACCTTGTGCCCCAGTCAGCAACAATACTACCTCCTACCCAAGATCAAACAGGAATAAGAGCAACCTCAGCTGACCCCTAAGGGCGGGCAATTACCGGGTAACAAAAGAACCATGAGGAAGTAGTCTCCCGAACGACTCATGGAAGATAACCCTAAACAACAAGGGCAGTACTTACAATGCACTTAACCTTTAAGTCGCTTATGGCCTTTTGGCCTGCAACATCGCCAGGCGCAACAAAAAAACCAGCGTTGAATATAATGAAACGCCATTTTCTGGGTGAGCCCCGGAGGCTCCTTGGAGCTTATCGGGCTAATGTATGTTATATTAGACCGGGACATTAGCTAAGGAGTTCAGACCTACCAGGGACCAACGCCAGAACCTGGCCCCTTCAGAGAGGTTTCAGGGAGCAATGGCCCTGGAAAACCCCCTTACGGTTGGGGGTTTTCCTTATCTGCCATCAACCGGGGTTAAGCACCCAGAAAGGTAGGCATAACAAAACAAACCCCACATGGTAAGAAACTACAACAAAAACCGAATAGAGGGGTAGAAAACTCCCTACAATCCCAAAGAACAATCAATCAATCAATTTACTGCCGCGCCGGTCGTCCGCGCAGCCCCCCCCTCCCCCTCCGGGGTCCCCCCCCCTCCCGGAGGGGGAGGGGGGGACCCCGGACCTCACTGCGCCGGCTGCCTTTAGTTCGGAAACTAGGCTTCAACCAACACGAAAAACCCTGCTAGCCGGTTGGGAGGGAGGATAGCCAGGGAGCCTCCGGGGCTCACCCAGCAAATGGTGTTTCATTACATTCAACGCTGGTTTTCTGTGGAGAGCCCCTACAGCTCCCTGGAGCTACATACCCAAAGAGAAGGAATTAGGGACTTACCCGGGAGGCGGCGGCCACAAACTCCTCAACACGAAGTCGAGACAACTGGCTGCAACCTGCGACCCAAAGCAACACAAGAACACAGAGGAGCAGGGACGTTCACCAAATAACGGGCTGCCAGGACCCTGTTCGACTTCCAAAATCCACGCGCCCGAATATGAGCCCAAGACATGTTACCAAACACGGCAGCCAAAGCTGCAAACTTCCGAATGTCATGGGCGCGAGGATAGACTGCAGGCAGGCTAGACTTAATAACCCTGCGGACAACCTGGGAGACCCGAGCCCTGGAAAAGGGAACGAGGGGAAACCGGATCAGCCCAAAGCGCATACCCAGCCACCCCGGCTGAAGCACGCAGGTAACGGCGAAGTGCTGCAACCGGACACAACACATGATGCACCCCCGGCCGAACCAACCAAGCATCAATAACCCACAGACCCCTCCGGAAAGCAGCCGTCTCGTTCTTCACCAGAAAAGATGGAGAAGGCTGCAAACCCAAGTACTCTTGTGTGGTGTGCGAGCCAGTACCACCCTAGTACTCCTGGCTCGCACACAGCCACACAAGAGGGAAAACGATGAACCAGCAAGACTCCACCTAGTCTTCACTCTGAATGACTCCGACATAAAGGAAATTGACTTCGAGGCCCCAGTAGGAATGAGCGATCACAGTGTACTGACATTTGAGTATCTGGTCGGAGAAGGGTTAAAGTACTCGAGGAAGGGAACTGAAAGCAAAAGGCTAGCAATCCGTAAGGGAAACTATGAGATGACAAAATTCCTAACGGATATAACATGGAAAACAGAGCTAAGGGAAAAAACGGCCCAAGACATGATGGAATACATCACACAGAAATGTAAGGAGGCAGCAGAAATGTTTATCCCAGCCCAAAAGGTAAAAAATGAAATGCAGATGAAAAACCCATGGTTTAATCAGAGATGTAAGCTAGCTAAGCAAATAAGTAAAAGAGCATGGAGAAACTATAGAAATAACAGGACACTTAAGAGCAGAGAAGGATACCAGAGAGCCAGGAATGAATACGTCAGGGTGAGAAGAGAGGCAGAAGGGCCATATGAAAACGACATAGCAAGCAAGGCTAAGACCCAACCCAAATTGCTACACAGCCACATCAGGAGAAAGACAAGAGTGAAGGAACAGCCTCGGGGCATCCGGGGCCTGCAAACAACCAAGAGCGTCGCAGCAATCTACAACCAGTAAGCAACGTCACAGCCGCCTGCACCCGATTATCATGACCAGTGGCCTGGGTGAAAGGGAGTACGTACCAACAACACTTGCCGTACAACTTGGGTCAAAAGAACAATGACCCAACAGGCAGCATGGCGGAGGCACAACCGGTGAGTGTCACCCTGAGACAAGGAGACAGATCAACCGTCAAACTCGCAGGATGCGAGAGGGACTCCGGGGACACATCTATATGACCACGGAGCCCCCGTGGGGTTTTCCAGGGCCCTTAGCTGTTGGTACATGCTAAGGGAAGCCGAGGCAGGGTACCGCGAACCGGCGCTCAATGCTACCAACAAACTGCTAAAGCTGAACCCCCGGGACGTGTCCACTCACGGGGGCCAAGCGGGGAGTACCACCAACAGAAGGAATCAAAAGAAATCACCTAGAACAGGAATGGGGGACCATAAAGGCAGAACCCCCCCCACCAGGCAAAAACAAAAACAAAAGAAAAACCCCGCAAGAGGACAACGTACCCAGGCGGAACAGAGCCGGCCGCTGTTATGGTGAAAACTAGCTGTGCAGTACCCCGCGCCCCTACCAGTGACGAAAACTACCACCTACCCAGAGACAAACCAGGGTAACAAACCCCCAGCTGACTCCAAAGGCGGCCCAGTACCGAGCAGTAAAGGACACAGCGGAGGTAGAACCCAAGGTGACTTGTGGAAGGTGGCCCCAAGGGCAGTACTTACAGGGCACCTAGGGAAGAGAGCCCTAGGCGCATGCAGCCCGAGTACCGTGGAATCTTACTTCTGGCTAACACCCCACCGGTAGAGACAGTCCACACCACAAGGCACAGAACTGAAACAAAAACCGGAGTCAGAGGCACTCGACCAGCCAGTAATTCCATCAGCCATGAACTGCCAGTTGGATCGCCGGCGTGGAGGGTCTGGGGCTCCCCCTTCCCCCTCCCGGGGAGGGGGGGTTGCGCAGATGGTGGCGCAGCGACGTGATGACGTCATGCTAGTTAGATAATTTTGTTTGGGGAGTTCTGTCCACTCGTTCGGCTTTCGGTAGCAATATTTTTACCAGAATAGGGGTTTGTTTTGGGGCGCCTACCTTTCTGGGTGCCTATCCCGATCGATGGCAGACATAGAATGCTCCCAACCACAAGGAGGTTTCTATAGGCCATTGCTCCTTGTGCCTCTCTGAGGGGGCCAGGTTCTGGCTCGTGGTCTCCGGTAGGCAAGAACTCCTAGCACTTTGACTGATGCCAGAAAGTTATACATATCCATTCAGCCTGGATAGCTCCGGGGAGCCGATGGGGCTCCCCCCAGAAAAGCTAGTGGAAGATCTGGAGCAAAGGAACTTTGTGACAACACCAACATGGTTTCAGGAATAGCAAGTCATGCCTCACAGGATTAATTGAATTCTACGACCAGGCAACAAGCATCAGACAAGAAAGAGAGGGGTGGGCAGACTGCATGTTTTTGGATTGCCAGAAAGCCTTTGACACAGTTCCACACCAGACACTAGTGTAAAAGCTAGAGATGCAGGCAGGAGTGAAAGGGAAGGTCCTCCATTGGATAAGGGAGTACCTAAGTAACAGAAGACAGAGAGTCACTGTGAGGGGTGAGGTCTCAGATTGGCGAGACATCACCAGTGGAGTGACGTCTACTGGTGACGTCTCATGGACCCATACTGTTTCTTACATATGTAAATGATCTTCCAGATGGTAAAGAATCATTCCTCTCATTCTTTGCTGATGATGCAAAAATTATGAGGAGAATTAAGACGGAGGAAGATAGTATGAGGCTACAAGATGACCTAGACAACCTGAATGAATGGTCCAACAAATGGCTACTAAGGTTCAACCCGAGTAAATGTAAGGTAATGAAACTAGGCAGTGGAAACAGGCGGCCAGACACAGGATACCGAATGTGGGATAAAGTCCTTCATGAAACGAACAGAGAGAAAGATCTGGGAGTTGATATCACACCAAATCTGTCTCCTGAAGCCCACATCAAAAGAATAACATCTGCAGCGTATGCGAGGCTGGCTAACATCAGAACTGTCTTCAGAAACCTGTGTAAGGAATCAATTAGGACCTTGTATACCACATATGTAAGACCAATCCTGGAGTATGCGGCCCCAGCATGGAGCCCATACCTTGTCAAGCACAAGGCGAAGCTTGAAAAAGTTCAGAGATATGCCACTAGGCTAGTCCCAGAACTAAGAGGCATGAGTTGTGAGGAAAGGCTACATGAAATGCACCTCACAACACTGGAAGACAGAAGAGTAAGGGGAGACATGATCACTACCTACAAAATTCTCAGAGGATTTGACAGGGTAGATAAAGATAAATTGTTTAACATGGGTGGTATGCAAACAAGGGGACACAGGAGGAAACTGAGTACCCAAATGAGCCACAGGGATGTTAGAAAGAACTTTTTCAGTGTCAGAGTAGTTAACAGATGGAATGCATTAGGCAGTGATGTGGTGGAGGCTGACTCCATACACAGTTTCAAATGTAGATATGATAGAGCCCAATAGGCTCAGGAATCTGTACACCAGTTGATTGACAGTTGAGAGGCGGGACCAAAGAGCCAGAGCTCAACCCCCGCAAGCACAACTAGGTGAGTACAGAAGAACAACACCACTTTGCACAGCACTGCTCAAAAGGATGGAGCCAGAGTCGATCAACAGCCACAAAACACAACAGCCTCTGAACCGAGATTGGGTAGTCGGTGCGAGAGGTCTGGGACCCCCCCCTCCCTTCCCTCTCCCAGGAAGGGGGGAGGTGCCGCAGACAGTGGTGCAGCCGCTGTGGTGACGTCATGCTTGTTTGCTTGTTTTCAATTGGGGAGTTCTGCTTGCTAATTCCACTTTCAGTTTGCAATTTTTAACCAGATGTAGTTTGTTTTGGAATTCCTACCATTTTGGGTGCCTGACCTGGTAGATGGCAGACACAGACTGCTTCTAATTGCACGGGGGTCTATAGGCCATTGCTTTTCGTGTCTCACTTGAAGGGGGAGGGGGGGGTCAGGTTCCGGCACTGGTCCCTGATAGGCCTAGAACTCCATCAATTGATTGTTGACAGGTCTAATATATACACATCAGCCCGGTATAGCTCCGGGGAGCCAAAGGGGCTCTCCACAGATATGACATCAATGCATACTCGAGGATGAAACTAACCCTAAAGTCAACAAGGGCAATGCGGGCAACAATTGGGATGGCTGCTATGATCAAATCAAATCACTCCATATTGCATCAAGGAGAAATTTTGCAGATCTCTGCCATACTGTAACACTGCCAAGGACCAGGGATGCAAAGCTAAGGTCAAAAGACCATACACAGATCAACAGGTCCATTGTCCCAGACTGAAGTACAGTATGATGAAGATAGTATGCTTCTAGGAACAGATTTTCAGCAACTCCATCACTGATCAGCAAACCCAGTAGTCAGCTAATACCCAAATCCCTGGTAGATGTTAAAATGGAGTATGAATGAACAACATACAGTCAGAAAAACTCAAGAGCACTCAAAGACTTGTACACTTTACCTAATCAATGCTACCAAGCTGAGGCTCAAGTACAGAAATAAACACATAACAATAATATCGACTAACAACTGAAAAGTCTATCCCTGCCCACCGACTTACACGAAGCAGTCATCAAGTACACTATGTACAATGGGCCAGGTTATGGGTTTGTCTCTCTGTGAATGGACCTCGGTCTAGTTATTCAAGGCTAAATTAAACGACTATACAGGAACTGTTGGCAAATTATGACATGTTAGTGTCAGTATGTCATTCTGCCTGACTATGCATAATACTATCCTTTGAACACAGTGAATCCTACCTTAGAAAGCCAAAGATAATAATTAAATAAATATCAGTAACTAACTCTCTCTCAGGGTGTCAGGAGTTGCATAAAAGTCCGCTGGAAGAGGATGATCTCCTGAGCCAAACCCAGAGTCACACCACAGATCCTCGTTGACACGAGTGCCAAAGTGGCTTCGGTACCTGAACAAAGAAGAGTAACATTAATATAGCTTAAAGAAGAAAGTTAGTACTGTACTCTATCTGCACTTGCAGGTGTTGAAGATAGGACAAAGAGCAGCAGTTGTTGTAAAATTCAATTGCAGTATTTTTTTTTAAGTTCATGAGTAAGGATCAGTGTAGCTTTCATATAAATTTCTTCTAATTTTATTTGCAGACATAAGAATGCATAGAAAAACAAAGTGATACTTACTCGAGATAATTATCAGGGATGAGGCAACAAGGATAATATTTTTGTTCATCAGCATAGTTGCTTTCTTCCTCCAGTTCTCTCTCCTTATGCTGGCCATAATAGCTCGCCATTAACTCGGACATTTCTTCTATGAGACCGGAGTACAAGGTAAACTTACGCTCCAGAGACTGTATCATCTGAAAATAATGAATCACCCAGTACACATACTTGCCAAACATGACATTACAATGACATATGAAATAAGCCTACTAAGAATAAATAAACAAACAAATTCTCAAGGGCCATGATGAGGGTTCGAATCTTCGTCCGGGATGATCCCAGACGCGCCTTAGTCGATTGCACCACGACATGGTAAAAGAAATGCAACCGGGAGTGCTACTGCCCTCATGTGGATCCAGCAGCCTCTCCGAGACACAAACCTGGGTTTTACACAATTCCCCCATGCACCGGGCTCTGTCAACAAGCTGTTCTACCTCTTTGCCCTTACTTAAATACACACAGAAATCAAAATAAAGTGATACATCAAATGAACAAATCCACAAGGGATGAGGGTTTGAACTTACATCCGGGATGATCCCAGACACGACTTAGTCGATTGCACCATGCCATGGCACCTCATAATTGAGGATTTGTTCATTTGATGTATCATGCTATTGTGATTTGTGTGTGTGTGTGTGTGTGTGTATTGAAGTATGGGCGAAGAGGTAGAACAGCTTGTTGACAGAGCCCAAGTGCATGGGAGAATTGTGAAAAACTCGGGTTTGTGTCCCGGAGAGGCTGATCCAGTCTGAATGGAGCTGGATCGTCGAACCCCGAGCAACCCAAACCCACCGCAGCGAAAGCCAGTCCACCCACACTGTGCTGCGAGCCCAATGGAAGGACGGAGCCCACCGCCCCTGGCCAGCCTGGTGAGCACTGGTCACAAAGCCCCAGCCAAGAGATGACGCATCCATGAACACATTGAGTGAGGGATTGAGGAAGCTCCAAGGTACTGAACCCTGAAAAACCCGAAGAGGAAGCAGGTGATGCAACAACTGACACAAGGCCCGCAGGATCGAACCCAGAGGTCATGAAAGAGGCAAAAGGGATGTTCCCAACGGAACCAGAACAGACGCCGAAGCCAGACCCGACCCGGTGGGTAAACCAGCACAGCGAAGTTCAAACTCCCTCACAACCGCTCGAGCAACTGCCAAGTGACAAAAGACCATCACAGGAACACCTGAAGGCAGGACTGCCGCCTCAGAATTGGCACAGAGGGAATACACATGGAAGTGGTCCGAAAGCCCCAAACAAGGCCCAGTGTTACACATCGCTCACCTTGGCCTTGTGTGTGACAGGAGTTACAGATAAACAACGGAGGAGTATGTTAATGATCCTTTAACCCCAAGCCGCGGGTCTTCACTGCCCTCTACTGGTATACCGTTGACCAAACCCAGGGAGCTCTCCAAGTCATGCTTCAAGTACGGTCACCACTACTTGACCTAGGACCCAAAGGGGAGAGGAAAAGGCCCAGCGCACACTGCTCGTGCTCGATTCTGCAATGTGCAATACCCCCACAGGGCCTGCCCACCTACACATGCAAAATTTTGCCGGACCTCCGGCTGTTACCTCAGTTCTCGCCTTTTATTCCAGTCGCGAGCTGGGTAATCTCTGCATCCCAGCAACACTTTTATTTCAACTGTAATACTGTACAGTGTTGCCACCCAGGGGTCTCTTTTTCTATTTAATACCAGTACCAGTGTGGTGTAATCTAATATCATTTGTTCTAAATGCTCAATGAGATGGAGGAGATATATAAAAGTGATAATATAAGAAAGTACAGTTTACTGACGATATAACTACATAAACAAGAATGAAGTATGCATATGATATATATGCATACTTCATAGTAGTAGTAGACAGCAGCGCTTTTCTGGTGACCGCAGGCAACTCACGTCAGCTGGCCAAGTTTAAAGGGGTCTTACTCCCCCTTCCCCATTAAAGCAGCTACACCTCCCGTAGACACACAGTTCTCTCGACTCGGCCACTCACGCCATTCGCTGTCTTCACCAGGTAGTAGATAAGATATGCAAGCTTCCCTACAGCCTAATCTACTCCGAAGAATCAACAGACATTCTAGTAACAACCTATATATATTTCTAGGCCTATCAGGGCACCTGACAGTTTAGTGGACAGTGCTTCGGATTCATAGTCCTGAGGTTCCGGGTTCGATCCCCGGTGGAGGCAGACACAAATGGGCAAAATGTTTCTTTCACCCTGATGCCCTTGTTACCTAGCAGTAAATAGGTACCTGGGAGTTAGACAGCATCAAGGGAAAGTGGGGGGGAATAATGATCTACCCTAACATATCCTACCCTCAGACGCTTGGACTACGATTGTCATCGTGGTCCTCAGCCCCTCACGTCGTTTCTCGGGACGTGGGATAAGGGAAGATAGAGGAGAGGGCACTGTAACACCAGCCAGGTCTGAACCTGAGGTAGAACCAGATGGGACTTCTCCCAGTTCACCAGGAACCCAAACCCAGTGAGCTGGGAAAGAACCACCCCTCTGGTGAGCAGACAAGCACACTGGCTGGGAGCCCACACCAACCAGTTGTCGAGGTAGGTCAACACTCGAACACCTAGCAGATGTAGTTGGGCCAACACGAACCGAGTAAGACGTGTGAAAATGTGATGTGCCAGAAGCCGGCCAAATGGAAAGCAATGAAAACAAGAAGCATGCCGCTTCACCATGAAACCTAACCAGTCCATGAACCCTGGATAAATAACTGATTATTCATGTCCATAAGGGACAGACACACCATTCAACAATCCAGCAGTTCCGACGGGACAAGTCCAGAATGAACCAAAGAACCGTACAGTCCCGTTCTGGCACAGGAACAAGCAAGAAACCCACTTGAAGGACATGGTTATTTTGACCACGCCCAGGAGCACCCACTCCAAGATGACCTGACGGGACACAGGGAAAGAAGCCTGCCCCGCCAGCCCAGAGACTCCGAGAAGAGGATGAGCCACCCAACACCACCACAGGCCGGAAAATACGACCTGAAACGCCCACGAATCATGGGACCAAGCGTGGGCAAACAGAGCCAGCCTCATCCCCATCGCCTCGTCAACAAGGCAACCCACGAAAGGGCCAGCGCCCCTCCCAGAAACCAACCAGTGAGCAGAGTGAGCACTGCGCTGACCAGACAAAGATGGCCCTGGAGGAGGCACTGGCACAAAAGCTGGCACCAAAGGCCCACCTCAACAAGCAGAAACTGGAGCCCAAGCACGACCACAAAACCTGTGCCAAGCCCCAAGAAGCAGTCTGCAAGCCAGGAAGACCCAGGAACCCCAGAACGCTCCCAATATGGGGACGAGGGCCAAATGCCAGGTCGCACAGGAGGAAAACCACCAAGGGCCTGCCGAACCTCCACAAGGGAAACCCAAGAGGAAGAAAACTGAAGAACACAAAGAAACATGGGGTGAGGGGAGAGCCCTAACTACCACATTTGCCAGTGAAGAACGCACCACGGAAAGGATGGGCAAGACACATGACCCTGACAACCCTGGTGAAAACAGCCAAAAAATCGAACCGAACACCAAGGGCCGAAAGCGTGAGAACTAGCAAAGCATACATGGCAAGGACACCGGGCCCAAAACCAAGGCCCAGAGCCCAAACACAGATAGAAAACACAAGACCAGGCAAAATGACCAACACCCAAACATTCCCAGAGGAAGAGATAGGGTAGGACGCCCCAAAGAAAGAACAAAACATAAAGATGGCAACAAGAGGAGAAAAACTTCAGATGTAGGAAAAAAAACAGTGTTGAATGTAATGAAACGCCATTTTCTGGGTGAGACCCGGAGGCTCCCCGGAGTTTATTAGGCTGATATGCTAATGTCAGACTTTGGCATCAATCATGTGTTTGGAGTTCAAATGGCCTACCAAGGACCATGAGCCAGAACCTGGGCCCCCCTTAGAAGAGGCAAGGGGAGCAATGGCCTATAGAAACCCCCCCTTTTGGTTGGAAGAATTCTGTGTCTGCCATCGACCGGGTCAGGCACCCAGAAAGGTAAGCATCCCAAAACAAACTCCTATTATGGTGAAAATATTGCTACCAAAAGTCGAACAAGTGGATAGAACTCCCCCTAAACGAAACGAGCAAACAATCATGACGTCACACATCGCCGAGCCGCTGTTAGCGATGCTCCTCCCTCCCCAGGAGGGGGGAGCCCCAGACCCTACACACCGGCTATCCACCCTTCAGTTCTTAGGCTGGATGTCAAAACACATGAAAAACCACTGACCGGAGGGAGGGATGCCAGGGATCCTTCTTCTTGAGGTTATCTTGAGATGATTTCGGGGATTAGCATCCCCATGGACTGGTCCTCGACCAGGCCTCCTTTTTGTTACACACCCCCAGGAAGCAGCCCGTAGCAGCTGTCTAACTCCCAGGTACCTATTTACTGCTAGGTAACAGGGGCATCAGGGTGAAAGAAACATTTTGCCCATTTGTCTCCACCTCCACCAGGGATCGAACCCGGAACCTCAGAACTACAAATCCGAAGCACTGTCCACTCAGCTGTTGGGCAACAGGGGAGCCTCTGGGTCTCACCCAGAAAATGGCATTTCATTACATTCAACTTTGGTTTTCTGGGGGAAGCCCTTCGGCTCCCCGGAGCTAACTACCCATAGAGGAAAAAATAGGGACTTACCCTGGGAGGCGGTCGTTGCTCACCCCTCAACTCAAAATCGAGACAATTGGCTGCAACCGCCGACCCAAAGCGACACAGGCCCGGCTGGGCCCAGAGACGTTCACAAGGTAATAAGCAGCCAGGACCCTGTTCGACTGCCAAAACAGCGGCTCCCAATTGTCAGCCCATGACATGTTGCCAAAGACAGCAGCAAGAGCAGCGAACTTACGAACGTCATGGGCACGGGGATAGACCACAGGCTGGCTAGCCTTAATAACTCTGCGGACGACCTGGGAGACCCGCACCCCCGAACAGGAAAGAAGGAAAACCGGATCAACCCAAAGTGCGTCCCCAGACACAGACCCCCCAGAGGCCAATGCCAACAGAGAAAAAGAGCCTTGGAGAATCAATCCTGAACTGAAGGGGGCCACAACAATCCGAGGAGAAGAAAGATAAGAGAGCACTCTGTCCAATGACCAGGACAGCTCAGGCGGCGC